GGTGAAATCCTTGACATCGGAAGCACTGGACTGGGCCAGAGCGTCCTTTATATGGTTCGACTTTGATATGTAATCCACAAATTTTGGTTTCTTTAGATTTTTCATTTTTCTTCAGAGTGATAAGAAAAAGTGGAAATTTTTTAACTTCTCCTTTAAATCTACGAGAGAGTTGACTGACACTTATAACTTCGTAATTTTTGCTTAAAAGTTCTTCTTTGATTTCATCAGGATCTGTGTCCATTGTAAGATGACGGAAGACCACTTTATGATTCTTCTCATCAGGCAAGAGAAAGGAGTGATATTTAATTTCCTTTTTGTTCAGAACACTTGTCATTTCTCTATGAATGTTGACATGAGAGACTTTAATTTTAAAGCCTTCTTTTTGAATGTAACCTGTGTAATCAGATTTGTCTGATAATTTATGTTCTGCTGCAAATAACGCTTTTAGTTCTTTCCAATCAAATTTTTTATCATTTATATAAATGGCAGGTGGCGCTTTGCCTTTTTTGTTTTGATCGTTTTGTATTTCTTCATTTATCTGAGATTCATTTGGAACAACAGGACTAGTGTCCATTGATTCTTGACTATTAATGGAAGGAGTAACAACTGGTTTGAGCTGAGAAGGATTAATGGGACGAAAATGACCCTTTTTCCTTTTACCCACACTACGATCTCCTTTGGGTTTTTGTTCAGTTTCGTTACCTGAACTATCCGTTTCTTGTTCGAAAGGAATTTCAGTTGAATTGTCTTTATTTGGCTTATTAGGTGAGCCTTTCATACGTTTTCTTTGAAAATACAATTTTCCATTCACTTTCTGTAGGTGTAGAAGGAGTTTCTTCTTGATGTTCTAATGACTCTTCAATTTCTTTGTGAGCAGTAATTAAGGCATCATACACTTTTTGAAGTAGATCAAATTCTTTGTCTTCTTTGATAGAAAGATTTCCATTTTGTTTCTTAACTTCTCAGCTCCTCAACGGTAGCCGCAAAAACTTTCAAAAATGGTTCCATCATTCATAAGCAAATTAATGGAGTCCGGCGCTCCGGAACCAGACCCACACGAAGGTGTTCTGGATGAGCCGGCGGGACTTCACAAGGCCCTTGTCTTCAGCACTGATAGTCAAAGCTAAAGAGTAACAATCCAAAACAGTAAAAAATCGAAGGATCGAAATCCAACAATTCAGTGATGAACGATCAGTGGCACAAGATAAGCAACCACAAAGCGAAAACGCAGACGATCTCCAACACCGAGGCGGGAAAACACACACACACACACACACAAAAAAAAAAAAAAAAAAAAAAAGTATCTAAACGTAGAATGAATATACACAATCGCTAATTGGTTAGTGGTGAGTAATGTAATGGATCTTACTGTGTCATTTTATATAAAGAAATGAACATGTTCTCGATGCTCTGGAATACTTTTAGTTTATTAAATTTTTAATCCGTTATAGTGGAGTAGATTAGAGACTTTTTTATTACTCTTTTGAGTTTTCCGGCATTGAGACGAATATTTTGTATCGCTTAGCGAAAGTTTTTTTTTGATGGCAAAACGAAAGCACTATCTGACCGTAGAACATATACAAATGCTAAATGAGTAAAATAGCAGAGGATATTATATTCCTGTGACTAATGCAAAGTTGGACTTTGCATACACCCATGTTTGAAAGAATATCATACATTGTTTCATTTTGAAACATTGTTTACTTTTCCTTGTTTGCTCGAATTTTTATGAAAGACAGTTTTAATATTTTTTAATTTTAATTGTATGTTGTGTTAAATAAAATCTGCCATTGTTTGGATATTTTTCCATATATATTTATTTGTGGGATAAGGGGAAAATTATATTATTCTATAATGAGTATTTTATACAATTTTTAAGGAAAATATAATAATAAAGGCTTAAAATTAATTCTGACGATTACCTGAATGTTCTTCTCATAACGTACCCAAAACTGGAAAAATTGGACAACAAATTTCATTTATACGAATTTTTTTCCAAAGTTAGGCTTAGCAGCGTAAACTGCCCCTCCCCACAGGACGACGCATCCAGTTAATGCACTGTCCCAAAAGAACGCTTCGGTAACAGAGGTGCCCGTCGCGAACGGGTTAAGCTAAAAACAGATCTGACTCTTTTTTTTTCATTATACTGGAACACACACCAGCAGTTTTCTGTACAAAAAGATATATACTAACTTTATACATTGAGCGGAAAACATATTATCAACATTAAACTATTTCAGTTATGATAAAAGTTTTCTACACTTAACAGGTTGGTTATGGTAAATCAGCCCTCAATACCCATGCAGCGGCTAGGATTTTAGCCTGGACTGAATTACTGGTCCTAAGTAATCTTACCACTCGGCCACTAATGGGCCATCTGAACTTAAGAAATGTTAGTTATTTAAAAAAATAAATAAATAAAAAAATCTAACAGTTTTCAGATTTTTCATTAAGTCCAAAGGAGCTTTTTGGTATTATTTGGTTTCGAGGGCCGTAAAAAATCGCCAAACTATTGTTGATGCCAATGCTGCTAAAAATAATGCGGCAAAGAAAGGAGTATAATAGTAAAACTATTTAAGATAGATATTTTAATTTAGATGAAGGTTAATTTCATATATACTTTTTATTATTATAATTTAGATAGAAAAGGCTAACCACCGAATGGAACATAAGCATAAATGTTTCAAATCATTTTATATTTATATAAAAATTGCTAAACCTAATGAATGGATGCCGCATCGCTATTTCGCTACCGACTTACGCTAAGCATAATTTCATCTCGTTGGTTGTTCAAACGTAATTTTCTATATGAATGATGCCTTTTCTTTGAAAATATTCTCGGAAAAAAGCAGATCGCTCACTTATTTGTTTGCGCTTTTTACAAGGGTAAAAAACAATTGGATTTTTGTCAATTTTTTTTACTTTTTAAGTGAAAATAGTTGATGTGTACATAGATAAAGTCAAGGGTGTGCGCAGTGCCATTTTGTGCAATTCTAGGATTTTTTTTAAGTGAAAATGGTTGATATGCACATGGATATAGAGTATGTGCAATTCTTAAAACACGTCAAGCAGTGGGTGATTCTGCACTTTACCCAAAATTCTAGTCATGGGCATTCCCAAATGTTAAATCCATAGGATATCAAAAAGGATTTAAAATTAAACTAGTATTTCAATGGCATCTTAAGAATATAGAACTAATAAACTTACGCAATCTGAAATCAGCGCATATGCTAGATGTGGCTCGCTGTTTAATTTGGGCACGTTTTGCTAGATTTGGCGCTTTTGCGCATACATTTTCGCTGCAATTTTTTTACGGCCCTCGAAACCGAATAGTACCAGCTTTTTTTAATATTTTACTTGTTATCTTTATTTATTAAATATCATGTTCTTCGCACTTAAACCATAAAATTGAATTCAACAGCAATATTGCAAAATAATTTAAAAAGAACACATCTTTCAAATTTGGAATACGCAGTCTTGTGCACTGGAGATTTCCGTACACTGTTGCCATGGCGCGCTTTGAAATCGTTGAATTTGTTAATAAAAAATTAGTTAAGTCTTACAAAATATGAAAGAGATAATAAAACAAATTCCAAATTAGGGCTTCCTGGTGCCAATATTTGGGTGGAGGATTGCGTTATTCAAAATTGGATGGCTCTCAGTATGATTGTTTTATCAAAATGAGAGAAACATATACATATTTATGCTGATTCTTCATTATTTAATTCTTTTAAATATTACACAGGGTTCTAACATTTGGTGGCAACAATTTGAAAAGTGAAACGCTGTTTATAGTGATTCGATGCAAAATGCTAAAACTAAAATAATAGCCCTTCTGGTCTAACGTCCTTTTTTTGGGGGGGGGGAAGAGAAGAAAATTGAATGAGATGAGAGATTACAAATAGTACTTTTTACTGACAAAACTGTCTTTGAAAAAAGAAAAGGGTATTTGCGTATTATCCCTTAGAGCTACTAAGTAGCACAATTTAGGGCCAATTATGAATGACCATGCCTTTTAGAAATCTGCAGTAATGACTGGTGATCCTTGCTGATATTTCTGCCAATAGTCGACGGGATAATATATAAGTGCCAATAAAAGTGTTGTGATAAGAATGGTAGATTTAATATTATGGTGGTTAATAAGCAGTGCTAATACATATATTTGTGTAGGAAAAAATATTATGCTTGTGTTGCCATATACTAAAAAAAAAAATCCATTGATTATTTAACCACTGTTAAAAGTAGTCATGGTCTATCTGTCTGAAGAGAATACCTTTGTGGGGAATTTCCTAAATAAAAATGGACTGAATTCATGTTATCTGTAGGGAAAATCATAAAGACACCAAGCAGCTAACTTGTTTGGTTGCCAAGAACCAAACTTAAGACAAACTCCAAAATTGAGCAATCTTATTCATTTAAATGTAGTAGACTTAATAAAAGTTACTGTTTAATAATTTTTCCTTGTAAGGCATTTTTTTTTTTTTTTTTTTTTGGGTTAGGGATGCTGTATGAATAATTAATGCTATATTCCAACAAGACATTTATTTAGAATTTGATGCTTCAGAAAAGGAATGCCAAAAAATTATGCCCCGGGGAAAGGATCCCTTAAAAATGTAATTATTCATATTCATATAATGAAATAAAGTATTAGAAAAAAAAAGCAACTTAAACAACTCACATTGATGGAAATGTTTAATAAGGCAAACAAATAAATATTCACCTTTTTTTCCTTCAAATTTTGATTCCCTTAAGGTAAAAAATGCTTTATTGTTTCATAAACCATGACTTCAAATTTTTAATTTTATAATTTCTATTTATTGTTTTATAAACTTAATGCTGATGATCTAGTAAATGGCAAAATCTCAAATCTGGAATTACTGAAGTCCCTATGAGTACAGACCTTGGACTTGGTACAGTATTTTAAAAAGGTACCCCACAACAGTTTAAGTTATTTGCAATGATGTGATGTTTTCTAGTTTTCATAAAGAAGAGACCATATGAATGTTTAAATTATATATTTCTATTGTATAAAACAAAAACTCTGAATAAAATAATAAAATTTTACAATTCCTTTAAAAATGTATTTTAATATAAATATAAAAATCTTCATGTTCGCACAGTTTGCTTAAAAAGCTTATATGTGGAAAAATTAAAATACTATATGTATCCAGATTATACACCATTCTGCAAAGTAGGAAAGCAAGCTTGATAAAAAACATGAAGCATCTGGTGTAACTGATAGTTGAACAACGCTTAAAATGAAATTTCTTGCAGTATCAGCTGTCAAAACTAACATCATCACTTCTCAAACTATGTCTTGAAACATCTCCACTGTAAGCAGGCGGAGAATTTCGGCAGATGGACAACGCTAAAATAAATATTCATAGACTATAGGAAAGCTTTGAAAAATACCTTTATTATAACAGTTATCAACAAAAGATTTACACCTTACCATCAATAAAATTTTCAGCATCTTCCTGAGATAAATGATGATGAAATTCTACAGGTTTTGTGCCAGCAATTGCTTGCAGTACATTGCTCTGGTGAGAGAAAATACAGCATATATATGTAAAATCATTCGACACTAACTTGTACATTATTTTAAAAATATAAATGTTTAAATCTATTTTAAACATTTAAACTTCTGGAAATTTTATGAAAATCTATCATGATGCAAACTTATGGTCCAGGAGAAAGGCCATCATTTAAAAAAACAATCTTTACACGTAAAAACATTTAAAAAATACTTTTTATATTTGAAACATAATTAAATGACTTTGAAATCATTCTAATATGTATATTCTAATAATTCTATAAATATTCTAATTATAATATATATAATAAAATAATGCACAAATTGGTGTCAGACAAACAAAGAAAGCAGCAGAAGAGGACTGGAAATCCATACATCCTGGAAATTTGATGAAAAGCCCTTCTGTCATGGAAATCCTGAAGCAAAATTGTAGTCCAAAAAACATTATCAGATGGCAATTTTTTTTTTTTTTAAATACTCTTTTCCTTTTAAACATTAGTTACATGGCCTGGAAATCATTCTAATAATGTGTAAACACCTTCTGTAAATTAACTAATTAAACATACACCCCATATCTGGGTACTTTAATTTTAAAATTAATAAATATTTAATTATGGTTTAATAATTGAAATTAATTCTTACCCTAAGATTGATGAAAATGATTTTGATACCCTCGTTTCTCATATTATTTATAAGACTGCACATGCTCTGAAAAATAAATATATATATTTTCAAAAAATGAAAATAATTCATTAATACCACTGGAATTAATTGATATACACAGTAAAAGTCCGAACATCCAAAAAGGCTGGTTAATGCTGAATATAAACAAAATCCTGGATAACTCAACATATTAAATATGCTATTCAGAGTATAAAAGCTAAATGAATGGAAGGTGAAATTTCCAGTATAAAACTATAAATACTTATTTATTATCAATTTAAATATCTAATGCCTACATTTAAAACTATTTAAGATTTCAGGGAGGGGGGAGTTAAGACATAAAAACTGACATATTTTTATCAAAGGACTCATTTTTATGAAAGATTAAAATAACACACGAGTAAAAAAAAAGTTGTTAGCAGTAAAATGTTTAATTTGAGACTGTCATTTAAAGAACTGCCATGGTGGTCACCAGATTGTTGATTCCATTTTGCGAGGAAATTATTGGATAATTTTTGTTAAGCGTAACATTCGAAGTGAATTATGCAAGAGCATGAAATACAAAATGTTTATGTCAAAACTGTTTGTCACTCTGCCCATTCAATTTCCATTTGACTGAGTCAGGGAATGAAAGGTTTTTAAAGTTGTGGGCATCGATTAATGTGGTCCTCTCTTTCTGAAAAACAAATCCAAGATACGGATTTTCGTTTCCACATACATTTTGTACTGAGCCATACACTCAGAGTTGGTGACCAATTTATGAATAGAAAGCTTCATCCATGCTCTCAGAAGATTTATAATGAGAAAAAGGAGAATTCTGAAAAGAATATTTGGCAACTCTCATTCAGAAATAAAGGGCTCAATTTATTCAACTGGACCATGTAGTACTATTTAAACTAGACAACAGAAAGCCTTAATTGACCTATAGTCAGTTATAAAAATCTTCCCAAGTAGAGATGGTTGTGCAAGAGTAACAGAGGTAAAAACATTTAGAAATTTTGAACACCCATTTTGTAAACTTTACCCACTGGAACTATCCAGGAATGATGATCCTGTCATCCAAATGGCGAACTGCACTGAAGTGTATGCACATTTTGAAACAATTTTAGATTCTAATTATTCAATGTTTGAAATTTTCTGAGATATTAGTTTTTTCATTTTTTTTATTGTATATTTTATTTTATTATTTTTTAAGTAATATAATAGTGCAAATTTAATTCTGCATTAATTTTTGGTTTTGAAATTTTCTGAGATATTAGTTTCTTCATTTTTTGTTATTGTATATTTTATTTTATTATTTTTTAAGTAATTTAATGTGCAAATTTAATTCTGCATTTAATTTTTGGTTTCTGCTATAAATTAAAGGTGGAAGTATGTTAGGAATCCAGATGAAGTCTTCCTTTCCATCACAAGATGGCATTAGATGCTTCACGAGTAAAAGAAATTAACTTTTTTTTTTTGCTGGTTAGTTTAGCTAGTTACATTTCTTCTTTGTTCTGATAAAAGTATGTAGGTAATTTTGAATTAGGCTGTTTGACCCCCTTTTTAGACCAAAGGGCATTAGCCCAAAACGGTTATTAATTTCAAAATGGCATTTTGCATCGATTCGCTTTTCAAACTGTTGCCACCAAATATTATTGCCATGTATTATATTTAAATAAATTAAATAATGAAGAATCTGCATAAATGCTTCTTGCATTGTGAAAAAACAACAGGATCTAGAGCCATCGAATTTTGAATACTGTAGTCCTCCAAACAAACATGGGCACTTGGAAGCCCGAATTTTGAATTTGTTTTATTATCTATTTAAAATTTTGTAAAACTTTTTAACAAATTTTTTATTAAGAAACTCAATGATTTCAAAGCAAGCTATGGCAACACTGTACAGAAAAAAACATTTTTATTTACAGCACGCAAGACTGTGTATTGGAAATCCTAAAGATATGCCGTTTTCCTGTTTTTAAATATTTTGTGATATTGCTGTTGAATTGAATTTTATGTGTTTTAAGTGCAAAGAACATGATATTTAATCAATAAAGATAACACACAAAATGTTAAAAAACACCCTTTTGGGCTTAAATATATCTGAAAGCTAGATTTTTTTTCCCCATAATTTTTCTTTGCTTTGAATGAAAATATTTCACAAGTATTTAGAAATTATTACATGTTTATTGAAATATATTAACAGTTCTATATATGAAGTGAAAATGACAAGATGCTTACAAGTAGTTCAAGACACCGTCAGATTATCTTATTTTTTACAAATACAAATATGAAAAATACAATGTGCTTCAGTACTCATGAAATAGCAGCTAAATATTTGTTTCCCTTTCAAATTTCTTATGTGATGCGTACATCAAAATGTATAGTGCCGACAAAATAAACGCTGCTTTGTCTAAAACAAGATCTTGTTCTACGCTAACACACCAGCAAAGTTATTCAACACTCCTTATCAAAATTATAATCATAACAACATTCAGTAGCCCTTAACAAAAAGTACAACAAAACCTGACTCTGTTAGTGGATTCTGACACCATTTATCAACACTAGTTGATTGATTACATAATCAATAAATACAAGTTATGGATATAACATATAAAAAACTTAAAATGTTTGTTCTAATCTTTTAAATTGTTTATGCATTTTCAAATACAGTTGCATATGTGCTCATTAATACACGCTTTTGTTGATTCCGTAATTTGGAAAATACTCCACTAGATGCTATTCCATTGAAGGCAGGTCTCAAATTTAAATTGTTTTTTCAAAATGCGAGAGAAACCAGATAAACAGCAATTACATTGCTTTTTACAAAAATTAAACTGGTTAAATAACAATTAATCAGATTTACCAGGGGTGTTTGGGACCCCAAATTCTGAAACTTTACCGACTAGACATTTCCGAGAAGGGAGGGGAGAAATGAAATTATTTATTGAATGTTTTCCCAACTTCTGTTCATATTCAGTAAGAGATCTTTGTGAATTGGATCAGTCATTGGATTTTTTGAGCCATATTTTTCACATGAGGTTTCTTTAGAAGCCATTAAATCATATTTAATAGTCTGCACTGCATCTAGGGAATCAATCTTAAGAGAGGTTCTATAGTCAGTGACAAGTGTATCCATTAAGTTGAATGCACTTTCCACTAATGGGCCATGGAAGCAGCTAAGGCAGGCTTTGACCAATTTAGCCAATGTAGGATACTTATAATCATTTGTGAAATCATCTTTTAAATTAAAAACTTTAGACCAATATTTATCAATTGTACACTTGACTTGATTTCCACTTTCATCAGATGTGTAGAGCATTTCTTTGGTGATATCAATATCACTCTGGTATAACCTTATTTCAGCTTCTACTTTTGACTTTTCATTATCACTAAAAATATGGGACATAAAAGATGATAATTTTTCAAAAGCTAATATTGTACTGGTTTTACCTCTTAGCTCTGGATCTAATGCTGTAAAACTAATTAGATATGAATTTTTAAGGGGTAATTTCTGTTTCATATGCTGTGCTGTATTAGTATAAGCTTTCATCAGAGAAATTTGGAATTCTTTTGCTATTGGATGATTTTTTGATAATTTCTTCAGGAGAGTGGAAGCTTCTGCACCAGTAAATATTACTTTGCTAGGTAGATGGAATTCTGGATTTGTGACATCAACCTTTAATAAATCATTATAAGATGTGCACTCTATATTTTCTGGCTTCATAAAAAAAGAGAAAAATTTTGCCATCAATTTATAAATACTGGAATGTATTAAATGAAGCATTGGTTTTTTTTGTTTCAAATAATTTAATATATGTGTTGAACTCTGGTAATACTGCTGAATATAATGCCATATGCAATAAAGTTTTGTTTTGCATAACAAATAACCCATTTAGTATTCTTTTTTTTTTCCGAGCTAAAGCATCCTTTGTGAGTTGTTGGGAATGCAAGCAAGAATACACCCCTTCAACAATTTTTTTCTGAGCTGCAGAAATATTTCTTTTATTGTATACAGTTTCAACATAAGAAAAATAATCCCCTTTATCAGTTTTATCCAAGTAGTGAAAATAAAATGCAATAAGAAGAAGCATCCCACAGATCTTTGATTCTTTCTAAAACACATAAAATGTACACCCACCTATGGTCTGGTCTCTTCAAGGGCTTAAGTTTTTTAATGGCAAGGGATTCACAGATTTTGAAAAAATTTTCTCTTTTACTGCAGCTTTTCATATCAAAATAGATGTCATCAAACAAATCTTCTAAGTATCTATCAAAACATGAAGCAAATTTTTTTGCACAGTTATTAGCTGTGTGACATGTGTCACCATCAATATCTAATAAGTGGGGTGCTTTGTTTGATCGTAGTCTGGTTTCAACACCCTTTTTTTTTTCCACACATGGTCCATTAATACACTAATTAAGTTTGCCCATGGAATATTATTATCTTCAATAGTATTAACAACTGCTTTAAAAACAGCTTCTGAATTGCAAGATTCCATCTTTAGAGATGCAAAATGATGAACTACAACTTCATTTTGATTGTTGTCATAAAACTGCACCAATATTGCCAGTATACTTTCTTGAGCATTGCTAGTACTTTCATCCAAATTTAGAGAAAATGGAGTCTCCTTTAAAGTTTTAATGATATTTTCCTTAATAGTTTTTGCGAGCCCATATTTCATCTTATAACATGCAGTAGTCCTGGACATTTCCAACGAGTTTAGTGCCGTCTGATCGCGGCTCAACTGTTTGCAGAGTTCAATTAAATTGGGAGCTACATTGAAAGAAAGAGAATTCTCGGCGATAAACGAAGTTATTAATACCTCTTGGCGTGCTTTTCTTGTCACTATATCCAATGGCCGAGCATCAGTCTCCAGTAAGTCATCAGTATTTTTTTTAGCAAATTAGTCATTGAATGTCTTTGACTTTGAATGCCTTGAATGCAGTTTACAAAAAACACAATATTAGCAACATTTCTTGCTCCGTTCCCCATTATCCAATTCCACCTAAATGCATTCCGGACACCTTCTTCTAATTGTATAATATCACTATTTATATCGAGAAATTTCATAGTGAAATTCTCTTGCGTACATAAATAAAAAAATATTTCAATAAATGAAACGAAAATTTTACACAGCGGAGAAAAAAAAGTTGAGAAGCGATCAATGACAAATAGCTAATACGGCGAAAAATCCCCCTTCTCTACTTATTGGCGCCACGCCAGGAGAGATAAGACCTTTGAACCCAGAGTCACGTGATCGCACATCTGGTCGAACGAAGTCTCTCCCTTTTTTTTTCTGCCGCGCCTACTTGCCGAAAAGAATCCAGAAGAGAATGTCCGAGAACCGGGGGAATGAGTCATAACTCGCAATAAGGAAAGAACAAAAAAGAAGTTTTTTCCCCCTTTTCACGCATTATCACTGCCTTTGGAGAAAGAAAGGAAAAGTTTTCACCACACACACTGACCTTGCGTTTTCTGCTTTCAAAGCAAACAAAATTACCCAGATCAAAATAAATAATTCATTATTATTCCTACTTCCTTTTGAACGACGATCCCCGGAATTTCCGAATTAAATCCGAATCGGGTTCCCGGCATAAACCCCCTTAATAAGAATCGAGCTATAGGGACCAAACTGTTATAAAGATTTGTTAGGTTCTTCTTATTTATGGTGACAATCTCCATCATTTAATTTTTTTTAACGCGTTGCCAACACTGTATAGGCACGATGCAACGAAAATGGAATAATTAAAAAATTTTTTAAATCCCAGTAAATGGTGCTAAACGGCAATGGTTTTCACATCGCTTAAGTCACGTACCTTTTGACCTTCATGTATGAGCATAAGTTTCTGTTCTCTGCTTCTGGTTTTGATAGATTTTTTGGCATAAACACACTGGGAATCATAGCTCTTTAAGTTAAAGAGACACTGGTATGTTTGTTTATTTCATTCGGAAATTTTTTGTTTTGGCCTTTGTTTTTATTAGAATGTGGGAAGTGCATCCAGTTCAATGTTTTCATTTATGTTGATTTTTTTTTATTAGGAGAACTTGGGAAAACGCATAAAGCTACCTATAGCAGGTGTAACACCGCCGAACTTCCATGATGGAAAAACTCAGACCAGTTGTCCTTTTTTTGTATTTATTTTAAAACTTAAGATAGACTTTCTTGGTTAATTAAAAAGTAACTTTACAGCATTATTACAGAAAAGGAGAGACATCAGCTTTCCTGATGCGTAATGCATCTTACTTGCTTGGTGAAAAAAGCCATCACTGTCCTGTATGTGTTGATGCTTATTTTATATTATTCAACATACAGCATAATTATTAAATTAAAATTTAATTACCTACAGATAATTATTGCTTTTATATTTTGTATTTATGTGTATAGTATTTATTTTCATGCGTATCATTATAATTTTAGTATTTCACATCTTTAATTTATTTCTATTAATGTGATACTTTTTATATTAATACATATAACAAATTAGCATATTAAGTACGTAACTTAAAAAATTGAGGTCATTATATCAAAATGCTGATTTTATATGAGTTGTTTTGTAAGGCTTAACTTCTGAAACTGTGTGTGCTGGTGGTGATGTTCCAATTTGGGGGGGGGGGTTGGTCCCATGGCTGCGCTTTGTTCCTGCACGCTGGTCCTCAAGGGTTAAAAAAAAGTTCCTGAAAGTCTAAAATATTTTGGTTTCTTGAACTTTCTGCTTAGCTGAATGCCAGATAGTCGGACTTTAACTGTACTTCATTAAAAATAAACTGAAGATTAGAAGAGTCAAAATAGTTTATTTACCATAGCCATAGTATAGTCAGCAGCTGTAATATGCTCACAGTCAATTATTATGTAGTATGAACTCTGATCTGGTCGATCTGAAAGGTAAGCATATGATTTAGTGCATGTAGTGGAACATAACAGTATTTAATTTGCATGCAGAAAAAATATAATTGCAGAATTTTTTTAATCATCAAATATTTAATTGAAATACACAGAATTCACTTTATATATATTACTGAATGAGAAACATGAAATTTTAAAAACTTTATAATATATATATATATATATATATATAACCAAAACGGGAGAAGATTTTGAATAATATTCTATTAATTTCAATAGTGATCGCTCTTCTTCAGCATGAGAAGGGGGAAAGAAAAAGTCTACAGTTGTGAAGAACAATAAATGTATTGGAAAATCAGTTTTTAGGTGGACTAAACAGAAAATGGATATAGCATCTTCTGGTGAAAGTAAACAGAATCAGAGAACTCCCCGTGTCAGTTTTTACATGACAATGCTGTCTAAATCGTTTAACTGTCAACAAAATTTGCTTATCCATAATACATTATTGCCTAACATTATCACATTTGCATTGATTGTATAAGGTATTGCACTAAATAAGTTCATTAAAACTACAACTTGTTACTTTAATTTGATTACATGCAATTTTTTGGTATGCACGAATCAATTAATAATTAATGTGATTTTCATTACCTTGTAAGTAAATAATAATGAGTTATTTATAATTTTCTACATGGAAATTTAAATGTTATATTGTACAACTAAAAATATAAATTTAACATCTAAGCCTAAACAGCCATAATATTTCTTCATCATCTCCATAACGATTAGATTCTTCCAATGTTCTGCAGATTTTAAAATCATGGATATTAAGATTATAAGAACATATAAAACAATAGAATCTATGCAGTATTTGCAATTCATGTAAAATTTGACTAATTTTAGTTGAACGATAACAAAACAAACAGACACAGATGGTTTATTAAACAATGAAGAAAACTACACTTCTTTATCTTACAAATTTCTTCACCCACATTGAAAAGCAAACCAGGAACTGCCATGAATTTTAAAGTTGAAAAACAAGCAAAGATCAAAAGCAGCATGATAAATAAATAGAGATTTGGGAGGGGGACAAGAAATGTACAAGTAACAATAAACTACAAAATTTTCGAACTGGAGAAAATGTGCAAGATTTTAATGTTAAATTCCATAATATATATCAGTTTTTATAGATCACATATAATGAGGAACAACTGTATATATATTTCTTAAAAACAAGGTATTATTTATTTCTTAACTCTTATATAAGAACTTCTTAAACTTTTTCTTTACCTGGAATGGATTTTATAATTCTTGTTTGTAAGCATTCTGCTGAAGGAAAAAGAACTGTTCTATCTGGTTTCACATACAAAAATGAATTTCCAAAGAACGTCTGAAAAAGGAATAAAAAGCAAGTACTTTCTACATAATAGAACATATTTAAAAAGTTCAATAATTTAATTCAAGAGTTCCAAAGTAATTTTTTAGCATAATTTTATAAGAAAATGAGGGCTATCTGTTTAACACGAGGGATTCTTTTTTAGAGGATCAGTTATCTCAGGAAAACAGACCCTCAGCAACTCAGGAAAATGCCTTTTAGCAGATTTGAATCTGGATTGGACTTAACAGTATTCAGTAATCTTATTCACTCAGTCAGTGGTGGACACAAGAAATAAGTCAGATATGTTTTGAAAGTATACATAAAATGAAGAAAGGGACTATAATATTTGTAACACTGATAAGACAAGTTAAAAAAATCCACTGCATAAAAATACAATCAGCTTTAGGAAAGATTTTTTTTTTTTTTTTTTTTAAATTTTGATATCTGTCAACATGTAAATTCATAGAAAACATATTTAGACTCATCATCCCATTTGCTTACGGATATATTTGTTGGAATGAAAAATTTATTATAACTTGAACAGTAAATTTTTTCTTTGTTAATTATTATTCTCTGTTGAATCATAAAAGCAATCTCAAGTTATTTAGAAATTTTCCATTAAAAATAAATCACTTATTTATGCATCTATTGACCTGTGATTAAAAATTTAGATACAAGGAAAAAGTTGAGAAAGGATGAGAGCAGGGATGTTGAAGAAGAACTGTGAAATGGTTCACTGTTAAAAGAAGCCATAATCTACCATTACCTGACAAATGTTTCAGACAAAGGCCAGTCAGACACATGGGAGGAAATGTCTTTTTTGGCCTCAAAAAGCTAGTTAGATAGGTTTAAAAAGCAGAATAACTTTTCCTTAGGAAAAATTCTCACAGAATTAAGCAGTATTTCAAAGTTGAGAAGTGAAAAAAAAAGTGTAGGATGGTATTTCTGTTGAGTACCAATAAAAAGACATTTTCAACCCCAATAAAGTTGGATCTACAAGATGATGCCAAACTACACAATGAAATTTAAAGATCAAAGATATACGGATGGAAAACTGCCAAAAATGCAAATCACAGTTATGCAGCAATACGAACAGCACTAGGTGTTGTAAGCTTTTAGTGACTGGAAAATCTCAAAGATCAAAATACTTTATAAATGTCAAGACTTCCTATTTCCTATAAAGCTTATTATAATGCATGGGTAATATAAAAACTGTCTGAAGAAGAGTTAAGAAAGTGGAATGAAGAACTTTTGGCTAAAAAAGTGAAAGATTCTATTCTTGGTTGGCAAGTGTACTGACCGCACAGATGTTAGAAACTTAAAATGGATTAAGATTGCTTTCTCACTCTGAATGCAACTTTGATACTACAATCTATGGATCAAGGTGTGATCAGGAGTTTGAAGTGTCATTACAGAAAGCAGCCTGTTGTTATAAGAATTCTGAAGTAGACAATCACATCAATTACAATATTTCACCTCTTGATGGAAAGCTAGTACTAGAAAAGTCATGGCATATTGTTACAGAATCAACCATACAAAATTGCTTTCCGTATGCTGGTCTAGCAAAGATTATTGAAGAGGAAGATGAAACAAGGATTTGCTTATCGCTAAGAGGCTAGTACAAAAATTGTATTTCAATATTTTGAGAATGTGATATGGAATTTTTTCAGCCAAGCAATGATGATGGTATATGTGATGAAGATCTTAGAGAAGCTTCTTCTGATGCTGATGAAAATAATGAGGAAATTGCAGTACACAGAAAGTGAACTCCCTACCACAGTGGATGCAAAAGTTGTGATGCATATCATTAATCAGTTTTTATTCACACTAACTGTAAAACCAAAAGTAATGGAATCTTTTTAAATTTTGGACAAAAATACAGATAAAGATTTCCTGCAATCTACATTATGCCAGCAGCAATTTAAAGATTAATTTTGCTCTGAAGTTAAGTAAAAAGTTGTAATTCAAACCAAAGTAATTTGATGACATGCAACCTGTAATTAATAAATACAATGAATGATCGATTTCATTATTACCTGCAGTAAAGGCACACTACATGTATGCAGGAATACAGCTTATTATCCTTCAACATAATTGCTTTCCATGATTATGTACTTCTGAGAAAGCATATAGAGATCTTGCATACTTTGGGTTAAGACAGCCTCTGTGTTATGCAGTAGAGTTCAGCTTTCACATTGCGTTAGATGTAACAATGTCTGAAACCATTGTCCTTTTTAAGAGTTCATTCAAGCGAGGGCAAAGGGAATAATCGGTAAGGACCAGATCTGATGAATTTTTTACAGAGCACAATAACCCCCTTACGTGTCAGGGACTGTTGCACAGTTATGGTGGAATGGGAGCATACATTATCATGCAGCAGACACCAAATTCCATTTTTGGTATATTGGGGGCATTTACATTTGATCCTTTTCAGGAGGTGATCCGAGACGTTCATGTAAGGCAGCCACATTTAATGTCATACTTTCTGAATTTATGAATAATCCTCTCAATATCAAAGAAATAATAATCAGTAATGCATTGATGGGCAACTTTTTGCACTAAACATTTTTGGATTTTGATGAATCTGGTGCACTTTTTTGAGGTAACATAAGATTTTTATGTCAGTGATGTACATTCTTTTATGAGCATAATGATTCCATAGGAACTTATTTTGCTTTGAAGATCATATATCCATCAACACTTTTATTTAAAAGTCAACTGCAAAGTGGTTTGGAATAAACTTATTAACAGAAATTTTTGAGAATCTATTAATAAATACTAACAGTCTTCTCTACCAGATTAACGTATTTATTTATTATGCATAACCATATAATAAATAGATTTTGAGAAAGAAAAGTAGTGCCTAATGGTAATCGTAAATGTTCTCTACACACACAAAAAAAAAGTCTAAAATTTTAAAGAACATAATTTGGAAACTCCAGATCAAATATTAATAATTTTTAAAAGCCAAAACATTTACTTTTCTATCTTCTATCAAAAGTTTCAAGCTTGACTCTTGAAGTAAAAGCAAGCCTAAGGAAATTCCAATCCCAATTATAATTCCATACTGAAACAAATTAAAATTCTTATTAGTCTATATAAATTATACTGCAAATTACAAATTCAAAACAGAAAAAAACATACATAAATATAAAACACTTTCATTTGAAAAATGTCATATGCTATTATTTGGAGGTCATATATAACAGCCTGGCTTATAGCACATATATTTAGACACTGGTTAAAGAAATGTTAATGCAAATTATATGAAGTGAAGATATACATATTTAAAATTCTCTTATTAACTGAAAGAAGCAAATAAGCAAAGAAAGCTGTAGGTTAATTCTAATTGATAATCTGTAAATGAGAAAAGTTTGTGCTCAATTGGTTCTTTAGATTTTGATATTTTAGCAAAAAGAAAACAAGAAAACTTGCTCTGAAGACTGGCTGACTACTGTGAGATATGAAAACAACTTCATAAAATGTATCATAATAGGAGATGGAGACCTGGTCTCTATAGTATGACAAAGAAACATGAAGACAAATAGCACAGTGTAAAGGACCATCTTCTCCTATACAAACCAATGCATGGGCGTCAAAATCAAAGACTAGGGCGATGCTGATTGCATTTTTTGATTACAAAGGACTTATTCACCATGAATATATCCCTGAAAATGAAGTAGTTGAATTCCCAAATATTAAAAGTTCCCTCCCAGGATTGGCTGGTTTAGGCAGGGCAATTGCAGCATTGAACCAATGGAGTGTTTTATGAATAAAAATTAAATACATGGCTTAAAAATCTACTGCAGATTTTAATTCATAAGCCATTGAAACTATATGCTTCAATGTTATTATTGGTATGGATGTTATTAACCAAACAGAAATGAAAATAAAAAAAAGTGGGTATCAAGTTTAACAAATTACAGGATGAAGGCAATAATATCAAGACAATGTCAGTTTTTAAAGCGTGCCTTGAAAATGAATCCAAAGTTGACTTCAGTTTTAACATTACTAATACTTCTAATTACAAACCTAATAAAAGTGAAATGACAGGTATTTAGATGATTACTCATAATTACCAATAAATGATAAACTTGTTAATTACCAGTTACTGATAATTAACCAATTTATCATCAATCTATGCATTTAGCTATTTTTGAAAAGCAGGTTGTTAAGTGAATTCATGAATGGTTAAAAGATAAAATTACTGAACCTTGCCCATTAGACTATTCCTCACAAATTTTAATTTTTAAAAAGTAATTTAATACTAATTGATCTGCATAGACTACTATGTCTCATGCACCCCTTTTGCTACTGCTAGATGATCATTCCCCCTTCCTTTCCAAACCTCGAAAAATACATAAATATTTATTTAGATTTAGATTATTTTAAAATGTCTTTAATAAATTAAACAAGTATAGAAAATATTGACAAATACCAAAACAAATGAATAAAAATTTTATATCCATAAACTAAAATGAAATATTTAACAACTAAAAGGCTGACCTCATTCCTCCCCCTATGAAATTCTCCCTGAGGGGGAATCAGCCCTTGGTTGAGAACCCCTGGTATAGATTATAGGAAACTGGATAAAATTACTGTTAAACACAGGTATTCTTTACCCTTAAAAGGTAGATAGATTGCAAGAAACATATGTTTTCAGTATAACAGATCTTTTATATATTCATAAAGATAGTAGAAAAATACTTAATTTTTAATGCACAATGAGTAGGCTCATATAAATGCAGCTTTCATTCTTGAAAGCTGCATTTATATTATGCAAAGTCCCTCACACATTTCAATGTTCCACAAATACTGTTTTCTGATTTCTGATAAATGAAGCTGTAGTTTTATCTTACATGGATGACATCATAATTTTAGCAGTAGAGGAAACTGGTAAAATCAAGAAATTGAAAAATCAATTTTTAAAAAGGCAAGAAGAATTTCTTGGACATGAGCATAGATAATGGTCATATCTCTCCCTCTACCTCAAAAACAAAAAGGAGTCATAAAAGGCTATGAATCATAGACAGATTCAAAGTTTCTTAGGGTTGGCGGCATATTTAAAAAATATATTTCTAGTTATTCTATTATTATCAAACTATTAAGCAATTTGTTAAAGACAGAAGCTGAATCAAAATTTTAGAGAGAATTTCATCAATATGCTTTTTGATGAACTCGAGATGTTCCAGTCTTAGAAGTTTGTTTCTGGTGTTTCTAATCCAAATTATGAAACAGAATTACATACAGATGCAAGTATTGATAGCTATACTAGTATTCTTTTGCACTTTGGATCTGTATAGAGTTTCTACTGGTATTATCCTTTAAAAAAATTCAATAAACAAGGTTGAAGAGTTCTAACCACTCATTAATTTACTTATCAACAATTCACTTTTAAAAAATAGGTAAATGCTTAAATCTATAATAAATTGGATAATAATAAATTGCTGCCCAGTTGGTATTGTGGTGAGGGACGCTGACTGCGATGCTGAAAGATCTGGGTTCGAATCCTGGAGAAGGCATGGTTGTAACTGTCCGTCCCTTCATAGGAAAAGCAATGGTGGCCCACCTATTAGGTGCTTCCATAATAAAGAGACCACCACATCCGGCCTTGTATAGATTAATGGACTGGGTTACATTTGTAATTACAATCTGCCATTGGGGAAAAATAATAAATTGGATAATTAACAGTAACTGATATAAGCATCTTGATAACTGTTGGTCTACTTTTATTGGATTAATATAGAAATCATATTTTCAATAATTTGTTACTCAGCATTATTAACATTAGGATCAACATCTTCATGTTCATTTGCCATGATATATATTTCAACATTGTCTCCACACTGTAGTTTACTAAACCTGATACCACTTTTATTTATTAATTCTAACACTAATAACATTCACACCAATAATAATATTAAGCTAAATAGCTTCATTAGTTATTATATTAATATTTGCAATTGATTTCATCTATTTAAATGTTATCCGTCAAACAATTTACTGGCTCAATTCTGTAGTTGCACATGCATGAAAACTTTGAAATTCAGCTTACCATTGATTAATGCATTTTTGAATAACTTCACTGTCAGTGTCAAAGCATTTAAAGACTATTAATTTTAACAGTTTTCATCACTAAATTTACAGAATTACTTTCAACAGTTATGTTTGCTACAGGTGTTTTTATCCAATCAGCACAATCATTAGATTTGTAACCAATTCCATTATAAGATTTATAACCTTATTTCTGCAGTAACGTACCTAATTTCAGTATTTTGAATAGTCAACTTTTTTCACATATTTATTTGTCTTGGTTCAATTTATTACTGTCATTTTAAATTTTAGTATATATTTTAACTTATTCCAATTCTGTAGGATTTTTGCGGCTAAAAAGAACATATTTATTAGTTGGTGAATCCGCAATTCCATGTGTTAAATGATGAATCAACATACCTTCCTCAATTTTACCTCTACTTGAAATTTGCTTCATGTACAAAACGTAACCTACATTTTAATTTCCACACATTTTCTATTAACATAACATGCAATTCAGTGGAATTACCTAATCAAAGGTGTTGTTTATTCCATAAGAGAATACAAAATTCAATTTCTAAGAGAAGCTTAGTTTTCAGGGTAAGAAGCCATTTACAAAAAAATAAACTTCAGTAGATCAGTAAGTTTGAATAACAGTGAAACATCTTCAGAGTCTTCAAGCTCTTTTTGAATTGAATTAAAAGGACTACCATCATATGAATATACCAGAGCTTCAGTATTACTATAATTTATAGAATATTTTAAAAATAAATTTACAGTCTACTAATCTTATACAGTCAAAAGTCGTTAATCCAGACTCGTCGGGACTTCGGCGATTCCGGATTATAGATCATCAGTTTAAATCTGGTAAAATGGAATGCAGAAATTATAAAATTAAAAATATGAAACCGTAATTTACGAAATAAAGAACAATTGTGATCTAAAGGGTATCAAAATTTACAAAAAAAAAAAAAAAAAAAAAAAAAAAAAAAAGAGCTTAATATTTATTTGTTTACTTTATTACGCATTTCTTTCAATGTAAGTTGTTTAAGTTGCTTCGTTTTTTATGTAATAATACATTCTCTTTAATTCTATAAACAGACATAATTTCTTGTTCAGTTACAAAGTTATGCTGTTCAAGTCCTATAATTGCTGTGTCGAGAATACCAACTAATTTGTCAATCGAAATTTTTTCGTTTTCAATAACCTCTGTGTTACTTTCTTCGCTATCGGAAGCGAATTATAATGACGAGGAATTTGATTTAAATCATATCAAAGACGGAGTACATCGAGATGAAATACTACATTTAGTAAGGAATTATAAGCCAAATAAAAACATCTGCCCAGAAGATAAGGGATAAGGATAGTGCTGACAGATCAACTTCCAATTCATTGCAGGCCGCCGCCGCGTTAAAGATAAACAAACGTTAAAGTTTAAATAAGCAAAGGATATGCCTTTATCCATTTTCTGCAGCAATTCCACTTTTTGTTTAATGGACTCCGAAAGATACTTTCGCTTTGTATATCCTTTACATATTAGTAAATATATATCAGAAATTCTATTTGACATAATCGAAAGTTCAAGCTTACTTTTATAAAATTGCTCTAACAGTCTGCAAAAAATAATAATCCGGATCCAATTTGAAGATTAAGGAACAACGCAATCTGCAACATTAACTGAAATAGATAATTAGATAATTTTAGCTTAGCTTATCCTGTCCGTTATACATTAAACGCGCATTCGTAAACGTATTTTGCGCACGCGCACACGCAAATTCACAGCGGTAAAGGTCTTACGCGCAAGCGTCAACGCAACGCATGCGCAGAAAGTTTGTAGCTTTGAGGTCCGGATTATAGATCATTCCAAATTAACGACTTTTGACTGTATTACTCCTGAATTCCAATGCTTAGAGTTAGCATAATACATTACTGTAAACCCAGACACTTCTCTTGAAGTAATATAAAATGAATATACTGCTTTATATCTTTAGAATACTAGTTCTCCAGTTCTGTACAATAAAATAATAAAATATTGGAATCAAATTAAAATTACATCTGAAAAATCCAAATTTCTCTTCAATCCCCAATATAAATATTCACACATATTTTTTATTTAATAAAAATTCATTTCTTTGAACAAGAAATTATGAACTTGTATAATAAAATACTTATGTCTTGATTTAGAAAATGAACAGACATTTCGAAATTTCTAAAATATCACTAATTAACATCTAACAACAATTAAACACAATAAACAGCCCACCCAGAGGGGGGGGATGAAGGAAACAAAATAAAAGAAATTGCTGAAAGTTAGAAAGTAAAAATCAGAAAAACTTACTTCTAATCCCAAGATAAAAGAAAATATAAAAGTAGCAGAAAATGGTAGCAAATCTAATTCTGTTAAGGGGGAGAAAAAAAAAAAAAAAAAAAAAAAAAAAAAAAAAAAAAGTGAGAAACAATGAAAATTACATGCAAAAGCAAAATACTAATAGTAGTAAAAATAATAATGTGGAAAAACTAAAAATATATTTTCACATAAAGAAAAATAATGATACACGCAATTACCGCAAATTAAAATTATACAATTTAAAATTCAGTTCTTCAATGGAAAAAATTAAAAATTTCCAAGAAACAGAAAAAGTACAATTTATAAATCACAGCATTTAAAAACAAAACAAAACAAAAAATTTAGCCTTGAACAATGCTGGTTTTAATTCCGTAACTTTATTTACATGTCAATGTTTTTTAGTAAAAGATGATGGAAATTCTTTTTTGAGATTTATGATAATTTTAAATTGTACAGCACAGAAATGCAGAGGAAAAATAAATAGATGAAAATATCATTGTTATAGCAATAGTCTTGATGCCACTTTGGATGTTCTTGTGTTTGTATTACAGTCTAATCACTCTGGTATGAAGTAATGGCAACCATGGAGCTGATTTAATGAAGAGAAGGAAGGTGGGAGCACATAGAAATAGTTGATTATGATGATAACAAATAGTATTATTTAAGTATTGTTCTAAATATTATGCTTTTACTGCAAAAAACATCTTTTTATTCAAATTTTTCAGGTTATAACTATGGAATGCTTGTATATGATTAATGAATAAAGAATGGACAATGGTGATGACAGAAATGGATTTCAAGAAAAGGTACTGGAAAAAAAATTTAATTTTATATTCATTGCTTTGTTTCATTTAGTTCATATATATATATATAATGGCAAAAAATATTAATACCTTTAAAATCCATTTTATATACAGTTTGGAACAAACCATATGCAAAAATAAAAACCCACAAGTACAGTTATCACCACTTGTTGCTACTATCAGTGCCCAATTAGATTAGGTTTTGAATCACTTTTTAATTTGCATACACTTTGGTTCTGTTGCCACATGCTGTAAAACTTGTGACACACTGCCATTTGTGTTTGTTTGTTGAGGTCAGTCAGAACTTTTGGTACCAACTCAAGCTGCGACTTTAACAATTTTTGCATGCTTAATTCATTTGCCACAATTTTACTAATTTGTATTTTTGGCAAGTTTAACTTACTTGCAAGTAACTGTACACCCATCTTTCTGTCACTGTTTAAACCATTTATCATCCTGATTGTCCTTTTTCACCTCTTTGAAGGTCTTATGCCATCTCACTTAATCATAACAAACACTTTTGATTGGAAAATCTTTGGTGATATGAAGGATATAAAAACAGTATTGCAAGAATCATTTTTAGCTCTAAAATCAGATGTTTGGTATACGGAACTGCGGCAAAGCCTCGAGGGCTTTCTGCCTAAAGGCAGGGATGCCGTCATTGAGGACTTTCTAAGGGAAACTGGCTTGTACGCTTCACGTTACGCATGGAGATGCCCATGCAGCCAGCTCGTTCATGGGATTCGAACCTTGAACCGAACTACCAGTGTTCAGCAATTTCACTGCTCGGCCACTGGTGGGCTACTAAAAGCAGAGGAGTTTTATCAACATAGATAAATTTAGTACCAGATACATGGTTAGAAGTAATCCACAATTATGCAGTTATGTAAAATTATTTAGTTACTTTACTTTTACACTCTTCACTTTTCTTTGTTGACTAAAATGGAAGAATTTTTGAGACATAATATGTAGTTATATAGACATGATATGTATGAACCATAATTCAAATTATCATAAGTGCAATTATTAGAGTGAACTTAATAATTGCCTGTCAGTTTTCTAGCTGACTATTTTACATAGGTCACTACATGGGATTTTCAATGCAACACTAATCAGAAATATAAAAATAATTTGAATATATTGAGAATTATTTTCATTTTTAATTTTCCTCTTGGTAAACTAATAGAAAAATTAATATGCAAAATGTATGTAATAGAAGAGAATACTTACTATTTGTTTTCCACATAACTATAACATCCTTATAATGTACCATATTTAAAACAGCCATAAATATCAATGCAGAAAGTGAAGCTTTTGGAATGTAGCAGAAATAAGGTGACATCACACCCAAAGCTAACAATACAAGACTTCCTAAAAATTAGTTAACTATTTAGAGAATTAATGATAAACTTTAAGGGTAAGATACAGAATTAAAATATTAAAACAATGAAAATATGAAATGTAATACCTGTCACTATTCCCCCTGCAGTTGTTCGAACTCCACTACTATAATTTATGGCAGTCCTAAATTAATCATGAAAAATAAGATATTTTAAATAAGCATAAAGAAAATGTGATGCTTGTCTCATGTATTAGTAATAGTATCTCAGTGTCTAAAAATTTGTTTTATTTTGAACTTCAAAGATATCAGGCATAAAATTTTGCATATTTTATCAGTGTCTTTACAATATAAATGAATAATTAAACACAAAAAATCTTAAATAAGCACAAAGAAGGCAAAATAAGTCTTATATATATCAATAAAAATTACAGATGGTACATGAAATACAGAATTTTTATTTGAATTTCCAAAGAAATCACGTGCAAAAATTCTGCATTTTATCTATACTCTTACAATGACTGACAACTCTGAAGACATAAAAGATTCAATGCACAATTATTAAGTTGAATTCAATAGTTTAAAAATGAATAATAATACTATTAATTGAATTGTAACTTATAAGAATTCCTAATAGATTAAATGGACAAGTGCGATGAAAAGTTAATAAAATTTATTCTTATCACAAGAAATAAAACAAAATACTGAAATTTTTTCTCACAGATATTCGTACAATATCACACAGTAGATATATTTTAAACTACTAAAACGTTAAATAGAACAGAATTCAAAAACACAGAGAGAAAGCTAATCCGATCGCTCCGCGAATTCGCTACAGTTAACTAACAACTGAACTGAGATGTTTTGTTCCAGTTTTTATAAGCTTTTTAATCATGCACGAGAACATTCTGGTATTTTCTTGAGGTTTCTGGAAAGCAAAAGAGTATTACAAGATATCTGTTTATTAAATGCACGTGCTATTGCATTTTTAATTTTTCAGCGTAGCTTTTTCTTAAAACTCGTCATGAGCTGCATTGCACGGGGAAATAAAATAATTTTAATTACAGTTTTACTAAAATTAGCTAATAAATATAAAATTCGTAACAATACTATGGGTGCCATGAGCATGTGCCAAGAGTGCCAAGGCAACAATCAAGAAAAGTCAGCTAAAAACTGTAAAATTATTAAAGGTATGAAAATACTTAAAAGTTAAAATCTGTCTTCCCCTTGCCACAGCAGCACTATCTAAACATGCTAAGAATTAAAGTTGTGGTTAAATTGAGTGAAATTTTGGTATGTAGAGCAGTAACTGTAAGCCTGATCAAGTAAGTACTTATAAAATGTAATTTTAGTTAATATTTTTAGCATGAAATAAACATTGAAAAACCTGTTATGAAATAAAACTTTGACCCATATACTATGTTTTGTTCTCAGGCCAATAATTACTAAGCAGTAGCTATGTACGAAGCTATCAATGCCGGCACAATTCCAATGAAATTAATTTAGCAAAAAATCACCCGCTTAAATCGCTGGACACCATATTAACCACAAAGCGATGGAAACTGAGTTATTACTATGAAAAGAAATATCACATTTTTTATACATTGTTCCTACTGTCGATACCAGATTAAAAAAATGACTTTGAAAATTTTTATTTATTTTAGTCTTAACTTTTACTGCAGAATTATGAAAAAGAAGCTAAGAACTGGGTTTTTAAAAGAAAAATGTGTTTAACTCATTGAAACTTCTTATTTAATGACAACCAGCATTGTCAGAAGAGATGAAATATCCCAGCAGACACTTGCAAGCTTAAGCCATCCATGTTGGTCTTTCTTAGTTTAACGAAAAGCGAATCAAGACCAAAAGGAAATTCAAGAAAAAATAAGAAAATATGATCTTCAGGCAGGGTCATCCATGATGGAGAGAATTTCTAAAAATAAAAATGCCACTGAAACTTCATTAATTGCTAGTTTACACACTGTAAAAATTGGAAAGTCCTATACTATTGCCAAGATACTGATTAAACCTTGTGCAAAACATATTTTAAGTTGCATGTTAGGTCCAGATATGGCCAAGAATATTGATACTGTAATAGCACTATATGCAAGCTAAAACAATTACACAGTTTCATAATCTGTGGAGAACAATCTTATAAGTTCAAAAACTCATGAATTTAGCTTAATGAAAGTACCAATGTTTGCTTGTGAAGTATCCCTTCAAAATGCAAACAGAAGAAGAATTTTTGATAAAAGTCCTTCAAACTTATGGCAGTGATAAAATTTTCAAAGCTATCAACAAATATGTTCGGAGAAAAGATTTGGAATGAAGCTAGTGTGTGGTTATTTGCAGCGATGGAGCAGCTGCAATGCTTTGGTAGTGAAAGGAGCCATGTGTAGGATGAATTAAGTGGCAGGAAATGTCCCAGCAGTAACTGTGTCATTCATCAGCATTCTCTGGCAACTAAAGGTTACCACAAGATTTAGTACTTGTATAGGATGCTGTTGTAAAGAAAATTAATCATGTTAAAAGCATACCTTTTAAAACTTAATAAAGGTCTGGATATAGATCACTTTAACCTCTTGCTGCACACAGAAATATGCTGGCTATGAAGGGGAAAAATCTTAACTTTGAACTAGAAGATATACTAGTGGTCACATTTATATAGAAGCTTTTTATCCAACAATTAACTGATGTTGAGTGGCTGCTTAAATTGGGATACCTTCCCGACATCTTTGAAAAACTGAATGAAACCATAAACTAATGCAAGAAAAATTTCATTCTAAAATTTAAAAAATGTTTATATAAAAATATAAATTACTTTAATGAACCAAAAAACACTACAAACCTGGAAAAGCTACCAGTTGCTGGATATGCCGAAACAAATGAACCCATTATATTACAGATCCCTAAAAAAAGTTAAAAAGAAATAAGAGTAAAGAGTCATAAACAATTACATAATTTAACTAAAATTTTCAATGCAAATGAACTTACCAATAGCAATCATTTCCTGCGTAGCATCCACTTTTTTACTTTTAGCTGAATATTAAAAGAAAATTATTTCTAAGGTAAGAAAATACTGAAAGGTCACAATAGATATGGAAAAAGAAGTGCAAACAATTAATTTTTCATTTTAATTCTTTTTAGTGAAAATAATAAAACAAACACACACATGAATATATATGTGTGTGTGTGTTTGTTTTATTATTACATATATATATGTGTGTGTGTATGCATAAGGGTAAAATATTAAATAATTCCAATAAGATAACATAATTAATACATGGGGAAGGGAAAATTCCTGAAAATACTTTCTAAAAATTAATATTACTGCATAAAATGAAATCAATGTCATACATTACTCCTAAAAACAATTCAAATTTAAAACTCTCATTTAAAGAAAATTCTGGATTTAATAATTGAGAATAATTAATCCAGATACTAGAAAATATTAAATTTAGAAAATATAAAATCATATTTACCAAATGACTTGGCAATTGCAATAGCTTCTAATAAACAAAGCAAAGGGATAATGATTAGTCCTGATCCAATTTCCTACACAGGGGGGAAAAAAAAGTTACCAGCACAAAAAATATATTGCTGTAATTCACCTAAATATTTGAATTAACGTCTTTGTTAATACTGTATTTTATTTATATGAAATTTGTATAATAATAATTACTATTTCAAATAAATTTGAAAGCAATTACTGTACCTGCACAATAACAGCAAAATTCTTGTGCACCGTTGTATTTGTAGCATTATTAAAATATGTATACTCAAAAGCTGGGAACGCAAATGATGGTAATCCAGGTTTCACTGCTTGTGTCAGTGTCAAAGAATCAATATCATACGACAATAGCAATGCTGCAATACCAGTACATAAAAGGACAAGAAGTGCATTTCGTGCTGAAACAGAAAGCATATTCAGGGATTAATGTAATATGAAGTTAAGATGTTGCCATCCCTATAAATATAGACTCCATGTCTAATAATTTAATAATTTTTATAATATATTAAACTTTAAATACAATAAAACAATTCTAGTTATTTCAGCAACAGGTGAAATAACCAGATGTACAGATAACAAAGAAAATTTTACTTATTGTAAAAATAAGGATTAACAGAATTATACAAAATGAACTATGGTAATAATTAAATTTAATATGAATAAAAGATTGAAAATTTAATCAATTAAAATTCTTTATTTCCTTTATTTATTTATTTTTTCAACAGTTTGTATCTTTCATACAAGAAAATTATGACTAAAATGCCGATTAGGCACTAATTATTATTTTGCATTTATAAGCCAACAAACTAAAAAAACAAAAAATCTAAAAATCTGATAAAAAAATCAAAGATAACTTTAAAAACATTACATTTTTTTATTATACACCATAAATTAAAAGAAAAGTACTATTCCGTTTTAAGGACAGTAAAAAATTGCAGCGAAAATGTATGCGCAAAAGCGCCAAATCTAGCAAACACAGCCATTTAACAGCGCGCCAAATCTAGCGTATGTGCTGATTTCAAATTGCATAAGTTTAGATAGTTCTATATTTCTTGAGACACCATTGAAATACTAAGCGATGCAGGAATCCATTCAGTTATGTTTAGCCTTTTTAAATATAAATTATAATAATGATCTGAAATAGTTATCGTATTTGATGGCTTATAAGACACACTTTTTTTCCTAAATTTGGTCTCAAAAAAGTTACCTGCGTCTTATACGTGAAGGACACAGTCTTATACGTGCAGGTAATTGCATTCAATAATTGTTTATTTGGCTTTTACGAAACGTGAGAACTAAAAGAAACCACGCTATTGAAACTTTTTTTCCTTGTGTGTGGCCGTCTAAATAAGGGTGCATCACATATGCTGTCAAATACGGTATTTACTCTTATACTTTTATTCAGTTATGTTTAGCCTTTTTAATATAAATTATAATAATAAAAAAGTATTATATGAAATTAACCTTTCATATAAATTAAAACAGTAATCTTTAAATAGTTATTTACTATTATACTTCCTTTCTTGCATTAGGGTTGCGGCAATTATTTTTGGTAGCACTGGCATCAACAATAGTTTGGCGATTTTTTACGATCCTCAAAACGGAATGGCAAACTGAGAAGTAAATCGTCAAGACGCCCCTATGAAAAATGGATCAGGGCTCGTTTCTACGGCAACAGACAGCCCCAGACAAACTGCCGAGAGCTGTTCTTACCATAGACAGACAGTAGCCCGCGTACGATGGTAGGGCCAAACCTAACTTTCACGGGCATAGCCCGCATACGGTGATCGGGGCAGAAATGAATATTATGTGGAATATTTGATATGCAATTACAGTCTGATGCAATAATTGTGGTAGACGCAAGTATTACAAAATGTTTATTTACACAAAACTCCAAAATACAAAATTAGTAATCTGTAATGGTATGATACAGTGGATGGACAAAAATATGGAAACACCTTGTGAAATGTATGTTTGAAAAGAAAGAATGATTTTAATGAAATATGTAGGTGGCGCTGGCGTTTTTGACCACTGACACCACCTATACAACTTCGTAAATGTGCTAAACAGTTTAGTTGTTGTCGGAGTACTGTTATGTGAGGTTGTCATTGCATTATGTCAGAGTTAACAGACTTCGAACGTGGGCAAATTGTTGGAGCCCGTATGGTAGGTGCTACCGTAAGCAAGGTAGCCGAGGTGTTTAGTGTTTCAAGAGGTACTGTATCGAAGATTTATTCCGCATATTTGAAAAGCGGAAAAACATCATCTGCTAAATCACAGCGCGGACGAAAGTGTGTCCTGAGTGATCGTGACAGACGATCATTAAGGGCAATTGTGACAAAAAATAAGAAGACCACAGCTGCAAAAGTTACTGCTGGAATGAATGTTGTGTTACCGAACTCTGTGTGTACCAAAACAATTAGAAGGGAGCTTCATAAACAGGGAATTGCTGGCCGTGCTGCAATTGAGAAGCCACTCATCAGTGATGCTAATGCCCGTAACAGGAAAAGGTGGTGTTTAAGTCATAAAGCCTGTAAATAGAGCAGTGGAAGCGAGTAATATGGTCTGACGAGTCTTCTTTCACATTGTTTCCCACTTCTGGCCGAGTTTACGTTTGGAGAACGCCATCTCAAGCCTATAATACAGACTGCTTGTTGCCAAGAGTGAAACATGGCGGGGTTTCTGTTATGGTTTGGACAGCCATATCGTGGTTCTCTGCTAGCTCCATGATAACTGTGTCAGGGCACATGACTGCCAAGACTTATGTGAACATTTTGGCCGATCAAGTTCATCCCATGGTACAAACTTTGTTCCCCGATGGTGATGGTGTCTTCCAAGACGACAAAGCCCCTGTTCACACAGCTCACATTGTCCAGGACTGGTTTTCTGAACACGAGGATGAGTTGTCCCATCTCCCTTGGCCACCACAGTCACCAGACCTAAATATTATCGAACCTTTGTGGTCTACATTGGAACGGAAAGTGCGTTCTCGTTATCCACCGCCAACATCGTTATCTGAACTTGCCACCGTTTTGCAGGAAGTATGGTATAATATTCCCTTGGCAAACATACAGGAACTGTATTTATCCATTCCGAGAAGACTGCAAGCTGTTTTGGATGCCAACGGGTTTCCTACACCATATTAAGCAAAGAAACATGTTTTTTTAAAGGTGTTTCCATATTTTTGTCCAACCCCTGTATATTTCAAAGCATTCTAGTACATGTAACGTAACTTTACACTTTTTACACTCGTGTTCTACGTGGATTTTCGGCATACCGATTCATTTCGGTTACAATATTGTTCCAAAATATGTCATTAAATATTAGATTAAGTATATCAAATTCTCCTCTACTTCCTCCTAATTGACATAAGGCTTCCTCTCTTACGCCAGGAGTCATCGTATAGTCCCAGATTTTTGGACCATTTCCTATTTCTTTCCAAAGCCAGGACTCTGGTAGTTGATCGTCATCGGATGTAGCATCAATAATTATTCGGCTATACTTTCTTCGAAAATTACATAATTCGTCATGTTTACGATTGCCCGGATTAGCATGTTACACAAGTCATGCAAATGACCTGAACATTGTGCGAGCTTGTATACAATTTCGGGCCAACATCTTCGAATCTAAATCGTAGGTTAAGGGGTTAAACTTATTTGTTACTAATTTAATTCAACAGATAACACCAATCTCATCATTAGTGTTTCATTTTTTTAAGTACTTTTGTAAAAAATATAGATGAGGTTTTCCAGGGAAGGCACAAACACTTATTTTATTATAAAGCATTTTCTAAATTTTCATTTAGAAATTCCAGTGAAAGAAGCACAAATCCAGTGAAAGAAGCACAAAATTCTTAAGAAAGTGCTTAGTTCAATATGACAAAATGATAAAGATCTCTCAGCTGAAAGACAAAAAGGATACAGGCTTTTTTTAATAATGATTAAAGTGATGACAGAGAAAATATTATGCAATAATAAACACAATTTTGTTAATACAGTCAAAAGTCTTTAATCCGGACCTCAAAGCTACAAACTTTCCGCGTATGCGTCAACGCATTAATGCGGTGACGCATGCGCATACAGTCAAAAGTCGTTAATTCGGACTCGTTGGGACTTCGGCGATTCCGGATTATAGATCATCAGTTTAAATCTCGTAAGATGGCATGCAGAAATTCTAAAATTAAAAATATGAAACCGTAATTTATGAAATAAAGAACAATTATGATCTAAAGGGTATCAAAATTTGCAAAAAGAAAAAGCTTAATATTTATTTGTTTACTTTATTAAACATTTCTTTCAATGTAAGTTGTTTAAGTTTTGCTTCGTTTCATGTGATAGTACTTTCTCTTTAATTCTATTAAACAGACATAATTTCTTGTTCAGTTACAAAGTTCCGCCATTCAAGTCCTATAATTGCTGTGTCAAGAACACCGACTAATTTGTCAATCGAAATTTTTTTGTTTTCAATAACCTCTGTCACTTTTCTTCGCTATCAGAAGCGAATTATAATGACGAGGAACTTGTTTTAAATCATATCAAAGACGGAGCATATCGAGATGAAATACTACATTTGGTAAGGAATTATAAGCCAAATAAAATAAAAACATCTGCGCTGAAGATAAGGATAGTGCTGACAAATCAACTTCCAATTCATTAGGCGCCCCGCCACCGAGCAGCGTGAAATTGATAAACAGATTTCGGATTTCAAAACATACTTTCGCTTTAGATTCTTTACATATTAACAAATATATATCGGAAATTCTATTTGATATAATCGAAAGTTTAAGCTTACTTTTATAAAATTGCTCTTAACAGTCTGCAAAAAATAATAATAAGCCGGATGCCAATTCGAAAATTAAGGAACAACGCAATCATGCAACATTAACTGAAATAGATAATTTTAGCTTATACGTCCATTATACATAAAATGCGCACGCGAAAACGTATTCTGCACTTGCGCACACTCATATGCGCAGTCGTAAAAGGTCTTACGCGCACGCGTGAACGCCTCTGCGTATGTGTCAACGTGGCGCATGCGCAGAAAGTTTTTAGTTTTGATGTCCGGATTATAGATCATTCAGAATTATGGGTGTCCGAATTAACGACTTTTGACTGTAATACCTTTACGCATGCCCATATGCGTTTACACATGCACATAATATGTTTACGCATCCGTGTTTAATGTATAATGGACGGTGTAAGCTAAGCTAAAATTATCTAATTATCTATTTCAGTTAATGTTGCAGATTACGTTGTTCTTTAATCTTCTAATTGGATCCGGCTTATTATTTTTTGCAGACTGTTAGAACAATTTTATAAAAGTAAGCTTGAACTTTCGATTATGTCAAAAAGAATTTCCGATTCTGGAGCTGCCAAAGGATCTACAAAGTGAAAGCATGTTTCGATGTCCATCAAACAAAAAGTGGAATTGCTGCAAAAAATGGATAAAGGCATATCGTTTGTTTCTCCAACCATTCCGAAATCCGTTTATCAATTTCATGCTGCTCTGCCGGAAGGGGGGGGGGACGTTGTGGCGTGCAATGAACTGGAAGTTGATCTGTCAGCCCTATCCTTATCTTCAGGGCAGATGTATTTATTTTATTTGGCTTATGATTCCTTACTAAATGCAGTATTTCATCTCGATGCACTCCGTCTTTGATATGATTTAAATCAAATTCCTCGTCATTATAAATATCACGAATACACATCAAATAGTTTTCTGGTTGCAATTTTCTAATTCCGACTATGCGTAATGTATACTTTACGCATTGAAAGAAATGTTTAATAAAGTAAACAAATAAATATTAAGCTTTTTTTGGTAAATTTTGATACCCTTTAGATCATAATTGCTCTTTATTTTATAAATTACAGTTTCATATTTTTAATTTTATTATTTCTGCATGCCATCTTATCAGATTTTAAATTGATGATTTATAATCCGGAAAAAGAGATAAATCGGAATCGATGAGTCTGGATTAAAGACTTTTGACTGTAATAAATAAAAATATTTTTTTTTTAACTTAGAGCTTCACCTTTTTTTTCTTTTGTATTAGTTCTTTGGTTCATAAAACATAAATTCACACAACATGCCATTTTCTAAGAGCTTAACAGCCATATTACAGAAATAATAATCAGATTTATTTACATATTTATTTTTAAAATTTTAGTTACAAATATGACAGTTTGTTATACAACTATGCAAAGCAACTGCTTACCAGTGGATATAGTTTTCAGAAGAGTGTCACATATTCTGCCAGCATATGCAAAAGTATTACAATGAATATTTATTTTGCTTCCACACTAAAAAGAAGTAATATATAAGAAACTCAAATTGTACCATTTTCAGCTGAAAAATTCTAAAGTTTTAGAATTATAATAAATTCTAAAAGTGACAAAATACTCACTTTAAGTAACAGAAGAAAGACAATACTAGATAGTCCCAAGGTCATATCCCAATATCTAATATAATAATAAATGCTCTGAGAGATATGAACATAAAAAACAAAAAGTTAAATTTTTTATAATAATACAGAATTAAATACACAGTCTTATTTCATTTTATAAAATTTTGTTTAATAATTGTGTACTTAAAATATAAATATTTGCACCACAGTTAAAAGACTCACATAAGGTAAAACAGCCTAATTCTTAGAACTGCATCACATCACCTGAGGTATAATTGTATTAAAACCTTGTGAATATTCATAACTAAACACATCTGTGCTACAAACTGTATATACAGAGAGTGTTCACACATTTTTTGTGATGATTTGCAAAGATTTATCTATAAACAAATCTTAGAATTTCATTTTCTAATATGTTCAGTCTGATAGCCCTTTTGTTGAACTATCATATTACATCTTGATTTCCAATATAAAAGTCCTTTCCTTAGAACATCCAAGTTGATTTTATTCCACTCCTTCTTCACAATCTTCCAAGGTCCATCCTATGTTTGGGGATGCCACTTATAAAGTGCTTGTTTTAAAAAGTCCAGATGCACAGTAATTCATAGAGGACTTAGGTGGGATGCATTTAAAGGCAACAGCTTCAATTATAGTTTCATTTTTCATTTTTGAAAAAAAAAGAAAAAAGAAAGAAAGAAGAAGAGCAGTAGATTTATAGATATGGCTTGGAGCCTTGTCTTGATGGAACTTTACATACTGAAGATTGTTTGGATAAAGAGATGGGATTCCTTCTTTAAAAATAAGTGTTAAAACATATTTCTGATAGTAATCCAAATTAATTTTTTTCTATTTTTCTTATTTTAAGTTTTTCTTTTATAAGAGAATTTAGAATAATCATAAAACCTTTAGGAAAACTTTCCTTGTTTCTCTGAACCATCAAAGTTTCTCTGGAGTCTTTTTTGATAATAAATCGATTCTTTTCTATTGCAATAGGATAAGGATATCCAACTTTAACTATACATTTCCTTTCTTCACCTGCCAAATAATTTCATACAGCTATCTGCACACAGTCTTACACTGAGAAACATGTTTCAACATTAGGCAATGAACATCATGTTTTTCTGTTTAGATTAACTTTAAATCAGATTTTATAATTTTGTTCACAGTTTCTACAGAGATATTTAAAGATTTTGCAATAGCTCTTTGGAGAGGGGGCTGGATTTTACTTTAAAACTTGCGATGTGACTAAATAAGAACTGTACGTACCTTTGTTGAGTATGCATTTTTTGCCTTTTTCCCAGTCAGATGTAACTTTGATGTTCCTTTCCTTTCATATTAATTATGTCACTTATTTTATGTGTAGAAATATTAAAATCATGCTTTTTATATCTTTTTTTAATAACTGAATGACAGTATTTCTCTTCAGATGGTGCAAAAACATAGACTTCGATACATTGTTTGTTTTTCGATGACATTTTAAAGAAAATAATATTTTTAATGCTGGATATGATAATTAAACATCATTCCAATTTGATACCAGTCATTTTTGTATTTTAAAATTAATATTTACATTCATGGAGAAATTCTAAATCATAACAAAAATGTATAAACACCCTCTGCATTTCAAGCCAACAGAAACAAATATTAGTTAGTTACTGGGCATAAAATTGATATTTGCATGAGCTCTTTTGAATAAAAATAGAGAATTGAAACTTAGAGCATCATATTAAACATAAAATTTTGTGTGGAAACTGGAAGTAACACTACTCATACATTAGAAATGTTGAAAATAGCATACAATAAAGATTTCATGAAAAGGTCAGGTATGTTTCAGGAGAGATTTAAAGAAGTGTAAGCATATGCAATAAATAGCCTTAGAAGCAGAGTAAAACAGCTGTGGTGAACATAACAATTAAATGCAAGATAAATAGCCCAGGAATAGTAAATTAACCAAGAAAAAAAATAATTTCAACTATGGTCGCAAAAAGATTTCTGCAAAGTTTGTGCTCCCTGTATACAGTCACAGCCCATCCCTGGTGAGAACCTTTCTGGCCAAAAAAGCAACTACCCAATCGGATCATCTTGTTTTTTTAACAGATTTAGTTCCCTGTGATTTCCAAATTTTTTCAAAAATTAAAATCTGTATTGAAGACACAAATATTTTCTAACGTAATTCATATCCAACAGAATGTAAACATTTATTTTACAAAACTCTAGAAAATGATTTCCAAATCTGCTTTCATAAATGAAAGAACAGACTACAGTAGTGTGAAGACACATAAGGAGAATAAACATATCAATGTCCACTAACATACAGTTCAACATCAATTACACTTTTTAAAAATACATTTTAAGGATGCAAATTATCACACTCTTTTTAATATTTATAGATTAAAAATTATCTCCAAACCGAAAAACAAACTATAAAAAGCACAATTTAAAATAAAATTAACTATTTAATTTGTACACATTTTTAAAGTTTTGTATCTTGAAACTTAAATTAAAAATTCATAAATAAATTAACGGATTTTCTAAAACTTTAAATATTGTTCACCTCATATTTCCATCTTTTATTCCATTAAAAAAGTGATAAACATCTTCAGTGAAACCTTCAGATTTAAAATATAATCCAAAAACACCCTGAAAAATGATTATGCAACATAATACAATTTATTATTACATTAATACTGTAACTTGTCATTTAGAGCACAATTATAAAACAAATTTGAAAATGGAACTGAAACAAAATACACAATAAAAAAAATAATTTCCTTTTAACCAGTTCACCGTCCTGCAAAACTCTACTATTTCCTAGCATTTTTTTCCTCCAAAGATCTTTTTGTGTCTGAAACTGGCCTCAGAATGTTTCTGAATGTATGTACACACGTCACGCAAAACAATCAGCCAAATGCTTTCGGGAGTGGGTCAAGATTGATATTTTCGATGAAATATTATACCCGAAATTTTTTGTGACTATAATACTTCCTTTACTTCATACAAGGAAGTCAAAACAGTAAAATAACACACAGAGAAAGTGAGTACTCAAAGTGAAATTGTTATTCTTCCTTTAAACAGTAAAACCAAGAAATTCCTGAAGAAATCAAAATTAATACAGAAAGTTCTTTTAGGTATTCTATAGGTTAGATTATTGAATATGACAAGGTATATGAGAATTTGCCTGATAGGAGAGATTTTGTAGAGTATTTTCTAATGGAAACTGGCTCATATTTACATTACACGTGGCTATATAATATATATCTTTCTTTTAGTGGGATGCATTGTCTTTATTGAAACTTGGAAATATTTCTGTCCTTTGAAGAATTTATGATAAAATATTTACTGTTTATAAAGCTATTTCATTCCTGTTTAAAAGCATAAGGCTTTTATTCATACATACTTTTAATTCACTTATATACTTATCACTTAAAGAAAAAAAATCGCAGATATGATCATAACAAAGCCAAAGTAGTTGACTACTCCATCAGTCAATTATTTTCATTTACTTCATTTCAAATGTGAAGTATTGTATTGGAAGAACTTGAAGGTTGAGATGACATTTTTGAAAAAGTTTAATTTTTATGTAGTACACTTTTAAAATATACAGAAATAAAAAAATTACATACTGTTGAAGATGTTTTCGACAAAATATAATTATACACGTAGGATGGAAATAAAAGAAACAATACAGCAATCCAAATTTCATACATTACTGTTGTTTCTTTTAAAAGTCCCATACTTTTAATGTTGCAGATTTCCCTATTAATGAGATATTTAAAAAAGTATCAATTAAATAATAAAATAATAATTAATAATTTAGGTTTTAAAAGACGAAATGTAACTTAAAAAATTTCAGTTCAACAATGCCATCCATAATTGATGCAATGTAGTGATAATGAAATTTAAATCAAATAACATTTCCATTTGTGCAATTAAGGTGAAAAATTAAAATACTTATATTAGGTATAACATTTCAATGCGATTCATAGTTCAGAGAATAATAAACAGAGTATATAATCAGGAACTCATTAAAAAATTGAAAGGCTATCATTTAAAATTTTCAAACATCTTTGTTCATTAAGGCCCATATCACACGGCATTTGTTTCACACAAACAACTGTTTCAGACAATTTTTCTGACTGGTTTACTATTGAAAGAAAGACGTGCAACTTTTTCCTTCCTTTCCAAAAATATTGTAAGTTGTCATTTTCAACCAATCAGCTATCAGTTTCGAATGCTAACAGCTTGTTTATAATGGGGAACCAGTTTTCCCTGTGTTAACACCAAAGTGATCTATGGTGATTGGCTGTTGTGATAAAGCAGAAAAATTGTTCCAAAACAGTTGTTCTTCCGAAACAAACCGATGTGTGATAGCAGCCTAATGAAACAGAGAAAGTTGTGGTTCTCACAAGATGTGTGTTGAGGGAGCATTCACTCTTGAGACAGTGATCTCCCATCTTTGTTTTCCTGATACAGCCCCAATGTTATCCTGATGCAACCCTGCTATCTCCACAACATGACATCAATCACCGCTTTTAATTTCTGACTCATTCTGGGGGGTAGAAAAACACGATGTGATGAATCTCTCTCGTGGGTCACATTCCAGCCCATATTTCACTCCAACGAGCATCTGCAGTTACTAACTAACGAAGATGCATTTCAAATGGATGAGTCTTTCTCAGCGAAAACAATGAACTGGTTAATAAACTTTTACTAAAATCATAATGACGTTAGAAAACGAAAAGTAAAGAAAAGAAATTGCACCTCAGTAAATAAATTGTATCTTTTAATAATCCTAGGCTTGATAATAAATATGTTGCATTGCAGAAAAAATAGTGAGACCTTAATTATACAAATTAAAATGGGTAAGTCTACTTAGGATAAAACAGTGTTTAATTTGTTTTGGATTAAAGAAAGATACAACCATCAAATGCAAATACAAAAATTTATCAATTTATATGGTATAATAAGTATTAAATCAATTTAACATATCACGTGAGGCAACTTATCTAAAACAAAAAAATTTACAAAAATCAAACTGCAAATCAAACATTCTTATGAAATCTAAACAAGGCAAAAAGGATGAGATACAGAACAAACAGCTTATAATTTTTTTTTTTTTTTTTTTTTTTTTTTTTTTTTTTTTAAGTGCGAAAGGGCAGAAAAATGACTTGACTCAAAAAATGGTTATTTAAAATAAAAATTATGAAATATTTTCTTATTTCTAAATTACATGATTACTGGATTTATAGGAATGCCTCCAAACAGTATAGTGGTTAGGGTAGCCTACTGCAATACCGAAGGGCACATGTTCAAATACCGTAGAAGGCATGGTTGTAACTATCTGTCTCTTCACAGGAGGCAATAGTGGCCACCTATTAGGTGCCTCCACAATAAAAATGGACATCGCTTCTGGCCTAACGAGTGGCTAATGGTGAATAGGCAAATGCCTGCCACTGGATTAAGGGGGGAGATTTACTAGAATGCACGATGTTTAGATGGTCAAGATTTCTATTAGGCAGGGGAATCTTCTAGTGCAGAAAATTTTATTCCTTTTCAGAAATCACCCAACTTTATTTCTATTAACTAGATAAGAATTATAAAAAATGTTCCAAAAGTATGTTCATACAGAATATCTCCCTTTTGAAAAAAGGAAAACTCTAAGAAATAACTTATTTACTGATTCAACTTATAAAGAAAAAATGATAAATATGAATAAAATAGGATTACTTATGATAAAAATAACTGAAATTATAGAAAACTCACAGCTAGTTGCGTCATTGCTATGGTGATTGCTGCAGCTGAAGTAAACCCACTGACGACAGAAGAAGAAATGAATGTCACTAAAAATCCTAAAGGTGGGAATTAAATAATTACACATATGATTTTTTTAGATGATCCTTTGATTATATTTTTGTAATTCTACAACATTTATATCAAGGATAATAGTAACAACAGTAATATGTAACATAAGTAACAAATATTTCAACAAAATTTTTCAAGACGATCTAATAATTAAAAAATTTGGGAATGTGTTTATAATTTATTTAACCATATAAACATACAAATAATCATGCATAGCCTCAACACTAAGGATTTTCCTTAAAACACAACACTAAAAAATGTGTTTGTAAGTTTGATTTATTGTAATTCTCAAATTTGCCTTACTACTACTGATTCTAAACAGTAAACTTATTAATATGTTTTTCTATAAATATTATCTCATAATTTCAAATGAATGTAAGAATTACCAAAGTCACTGTCAATTGAAATTTTTAACATGAAAACTATTTTTGGTCCTACTGAACTTGCTGGCTATTTAATTTATGTGAAAAATTCTTAGAGAAGCACAAATATGCAAAACAGCTTCACGTAATCATAAAACTAAATAATCATAAAGATAATTTACAATTATACCTTAAAAGAAGAGTTTTTAATACAGCAATGAGAAGTTAATTCTATATATTAACATATAATTTTATGAAAGTAACATTCCTGCTTGGAATTTGAATACACACTTGCAAGCTAGTGATTTAAGCCTATAATTAAGCTATGACTAGGCTTAAATGTAATGTACTTTTCTTCAGTAAATAATTATTTCTTTTCCATTTTTTGGCCTCTGATGACACTTCAAACCCCATAAGCTTTTGTTGTTTCATCCAATTCAATTTTCAAGATTATCATCTACAAATTTTCTTTTTCTGACTATAAAGTAACTCACATTCTTTACAAATTAGCATGCCAATATGCTACAGCCTGTGGTAGTAAGTTCTCTTGAAATTCTTCACATTTCAGAGGATCTTACTATAAAAATGTTAACATTTGCAACAGCTTTAGTGAATCTGGGATGATGATATTTCAAATGACTTTCATACAAAAATCGGAGAATGTGAAGGATAATTTGTTCAATAATTTTTACAAAGGCATAAAACACTTCTATTTTAAAGTCTAAACACATAGTCTACTTAAAAATGAACATGAACAATTCATGATGGCAACTTTCAAAAAGCCATTTTTAAACAACTTTGGCACTGAATGTGATAAAAGGCCCTTTGAATACTGGCACAGGTTAAGGTAACAAAGTTTAAACCTCAGCTTTAAAGGTTAAAAGTGCTAAGAAAAATACCGGAAAGAGTTTTCAGAATAGGTGCATATACACTAAACTGCTGGTATCTTTATCAAACAAATGTACTCAGTTCGAAATGAATAATAGTTTATATGACTTCATACTTCTTAAAAGATAATTTATTTCATTGGAAGTACTAAACTCATGTTAAAAAATCTGATGCGGACACCACATGACTTCCTTGTGTGGAATTTTACATTATACGCACTTTTTGTTGCATTTCAACTACACTTATTTCCTTGAAATACATTAGAGATACATTTCTTGTTCAATTAATTTAGTTCTCACTTTGCGGCAAGGCAAAAGTACATAAAACCAAAAATACCTTCATTAAAAATTGAAAAATATAGAAAAACGTAAAACACAAAATACAGTTAAAACAATTAAAACACAATTTCTACAATTAAAATTAGAGTTTCTACGCAAAAGCGAGCAATTGGGCCAGCAGGCAAGAAAACAGATTTTTCGGTTTTGTTTCATTTCAATTAAACTTATTTCCATGAAATTCATTAGAGATACATTTCTCATTTAATTAATTCAGTTCTCACTTTGCGGCAAGGCAAAAATACACAAAACTTCAAAATATCTTCATTAAAAATTGAAAAATATAGATAAACATAAAACACCAAATACAATTAAAAAACAATTTTTAGAATTAAAATTAAAGTTTCTACACAAAAGCAGGCAATTTGTCCAGCAGGCAAGAAAGCAGATTTTTTGGTGCACAAAACTGAAAGTTGACTTTTGGTCCCACTTGGCAAAAAGACCCAAAGGTGCAGAAACTCACTTAATTCACTATTTTGCTAAGTTTCAAGCATAAGCAAATGCTGCTATGGTAAACTATGGCTACCATGGTAACAAAATTAGGCTTAGCCATACTTAAACAACTTTTAAATTGTTGACAATTCTACAACTATTGCATGCAGATTAACTAAAAGCTTAAAAAAATTAACTGGAAGATAAGAGCAACATAATTCAATTCTTTTTAAAGCAAAAAATGCACAATTTGCCAACAAAAAAGAATAAAAATGCTGAGCTCATGGAGCCGAGTAACAGAGTGGGTACATATATACATATATATTTATATACTTTTGGTGTGGCTGACTGCAACCAAAAAAAGGAAGTGCACAACTATATGTTATAGCAGTCCTATGTACAAAATTTCAATGCTCCCCGTTTTTGAGTTATGTGAGATATATACATACATAAGTACGTATAGATGTCATGAAAAAATCTCTTTTGAATCCATTTTAAATCAATTTTATAGTCTATTTTGGGAAAAAGAGTCCTTTGTTCTGTCTTTACATACAGATGTCATGAAAAAACATCATTAAATTGCATTCGATAGAGATCAAAATGGATATTTTCGTTGAAATATTATACCCAGAATTTTTCATGATTACTATACTTCTTTTACTTCGTAAAAGGAAGAAAAAATAAGCAACAAATGCTAAAAGAAAAGGTACAAATAAAAAAAGGGAGAATTAAAGCATACAATTTACATATGAGGTAGAGGTTGCATCGCTGAATGCAGATAGGCAATCTATATTAGCATAAAATGCAATCCTGCAGAAATTAAGAATAGTATTTACGAGGTTTTTCTTGGAGATGTTAGATTGTCAATTAATTAGCTTAACGGTATTGAAATTGAAGAGCTTTTTTGTCAAGTAATGTAATTTTTTGAATTTATAAGCTTGCTTGTCAACATAATCTGCTCTGGTGTCATCGCTGTTAGTTAAGTTCATGGCATTTAGGACAGATGACTTGTTTTTCTATCACATTGTAATTATTTATGACAAAGATGTTGTCTATACATCTGAAGGAAAAACTGAAAACTTCTGGTTTTTGGTAGCTGTTGATTAGTACGCTCATGGACCTCAGTGCAAACTTTTTAAAGAATTTTAGTGAAGTTAATATCATTACTATTTTTTGTAATTATTCAATTAATCAGGTATAAACCTGAATTTGATTGGATTCCACTGAAATTTTGGTAGTGCACACAAACTAGATAATTTACTGTACTGAGTCTGAGTGATAATTTTTTTTCCCCCATGGATTTTTCATGGAAAAAAAAATATTTTATATTTATTAATCATTATATTTTCTTAATTTTTAGGGATTTAGCATATAATTTTATTATTCACGTCACTGCTAATAATTTCTTGATAGTATTTTTTATAAATAATAAAAAATTGTTGCAAGCTTTGTTTATAGCAGTGATAATAAATTTGTTTTTAAGCCTTTAAATTTTTACTTCATTATGGCAAAAATGTTTGCTGTTATAGTACAAATTGAAGTCAATTAAAATTCTTTTTAATATTGCTGTAGGGTGTTTCCATCCTTGCAGTGAGTTAGGTGGATACCTGTATTTGGAGCTGGTGCTAATAATAAATTGGTCAAGGTTGTGTTTAATCTTTTTAAGAGGAATTTGTTTTGCTTATATTGTAGTTAATTCTGAATTTAGTACCAAATTTCATGAATTTTTTTAATCCTTTGTATTTAATAATACTAAGATCTCTGGTAATAATGTGTTTGTGATTAGTCAACTATTTCTTAAAGCATGGTTCATGACAGAAACAAGGTGGGTGAATAACAGAATGACTGTTGTGGTTGGTAATGATACTACCTAACTTGTTATTGTATTTGAAGCAAATTCTGATAATAGCATCACTGATAGGAAAACATTTCTGGTTTCGCTTGAAAATTTTGTCAAACTCAATATTGTAAAAGACACAGGATGCATAAAATGAATTTTACAGTAGTTTATATTTTAGATTTAAGATTCATTTAATTCATATTTAAGATTTAGATTTTTCTTAACAGTTTCATTTGATTCTGATTACACATCACTGCAACATGTTAGGGTTACAGAAGCAGATACAAAGATTTTTTTTTGTTTTTTGTTATGTCTCTTGCATTTTTTTGTTTTGTTTATTTTTTAGAATTTAATTTATTTTCATTATTTGAAACAATTCTAGCTTTCTGAATTTGATTAGATTATTACACACTTAGAACTGACTCTTGCTCTCTTCTATATTTAATATTTCATGTGTTGTTAGATTAATTTTTTCTTTTAGATTTTGACTTGTCAGCTCAACATGTTTCTTATTTTAATCAAATGAATGGTTTTGATGCTGCTTTGAAAATATATATATATATATATATTGGTAGAGGGGGGCAAGCCTGTAGGTGATGGACTGATAAGGACACAGAAAGATTTGTCTCATAGAAATTGTTTTTTAATTGAAGTCAGATTTCAATATTTAAATTTGTGTCATTCTCAGTTCAGAAACAGACTGATCCATTTATTTCTTTTGTTATGCCAACCTCCTGACAACAATGCGGCAAGACGCATAAATTCTCTTTATTTCATTTTCAGTTTACACTGTTTTTTTCACTTTTTTATATATTGTTTTCCATAAGGATCTCAATGTTGTTTTAATTTTTTTTACTATGTATGTTGTGCATGCAAAAATTTTTTTTTTTATTTATTTATCTTAAAAAGATTAAACACAGCCTTGGCTAATTTTTTAGTACTTGATCCGAGTGAATATGTAATAACGGATTTAAATATTTTATTTTTATTTTTCAATCTTCAAAAATTACAATCACCCATTTTTTGCAAATTTCAGTTCATAATTGGATTAGACTTTGAATTTCTTTTTTGTATTATTTCACTTATACACAAACACATAGTGGTCTCAGAAGTGGAAAAAAATATGTTTTTACCAAGGTTTAAAATTCCCATGAGCAGCTGGATGCAGCCAGAAAGAAATGTTATCAGAATAACATATGTAACTCCACCTGCTGCAGTATGTTCTGAGGTCATAAGAGACATTATAGCTGTTGGTCCAATTGTTAAATCTTTACAACTCCCAAATATTGTATACATAAAGCATCCCATAAATGCTGTATACAGACCATACTGAAAATAAAAGATTAATATTTCTCAAAAATTCATTGGGAAGATGAAGTGAAACATATATATAGTAAAATATAATTTCTAAGAAACAAAAATGGTAATAAAATAATGTTTAATTTCAGTCAAAATTTAATTTGCCACAAATCCTGATTTTTCTTTCCAGAATAAAATTATGGTTCCAGCCTGCTCATACTGCAGTTGTTGCCAGTATGATAACTATATATATCATCATCTATTAGCACCCATGAGAAGTGCAACAGTACAAAAGTTTCAGATGACCTTGAAAATGATAATGGCCTTGGGATGCAATCCGGGCTCTGTTACACACAAATCGAATTCTCTATCACTAATGCAAAAGATCTGTGCGTTAGGTTCAAGAATTCTATTTCAAATTTGTCATTGAGTGGCTCTCAAGATCATTACAGTGCTATAGACCAAAGTATAGACAAATCATGTGACACTTCTCAGGCAACTGTTAAAGAATACTGGGAACAGGATGCTCTGTTAATTGTAGCAACAAAGACTTCTACTACAACTTCATTTTAAATCTGTTCCTATCCTTTTCTGACTTTAAATTCAACTATAAACCTCTTCAAGTTTACTAATCTTCAGTTTTGAAATCATTTCTCCTCCCCTTCCCCCAAACCTTTCCACAGGCCTTTCAAAATACAGCTAATATCTTACTGTAGTTCTGATAAAACAACTTGACTTTAAGAGAGGTGTTAATTGGTACTTTTGTATTACTGCAACCACCTTAGAAGTCGCTAAATGCAACAATTTTCCATTCTTGAATCCAGTATGTAGGACTAGGTCTCCTACATAAAATCTACAAAGGTATTCCTCCTCTTATGCAGGTAGCCCTTACATGGTTTCCCAAATTCAGATAAACCCCTCCTAAAAAAAAAAAAAAAAAAAAAAAAAAAAAAAAAAACTTTCTTAAATGACAATTTCTCCTTAGCTTGCACCATCTTATTTCACTTATTTTTTTTCTATAGGAGGACCTGTGAGTTAAAATTAAAGGAGAATTGCACAATTTTTTTTTTTTTTTTCCAAATTAGTGCTTTATTTATCGATTCTTTCATTCAAATGAATAACGTTTTATGTTAATGTCCCCACAGAGAGCATTATGATTCCTTACTTTTAGTCCACTTACATGCTTAAAAAAACAGCAATTGTAAATGGGAAGGAGGGACCATGGAAAAAATGCTTCATTATTTGTCTGAGAAAAGACCGTTCAGTTGCATCACTCACTAGTTCTGAACTTTTATATCATAGAAACAAACTTTCCCAAACACAGAGCAAGAAAAATAGTAGTTATTTATATGTAACCCCATTAATTACATAAAGTTATAGTAAAGACATAGTTATTTAGATGCAATTGCATTAACTGCATAAAAAGGGTGTGGAATTCTCATTATTTCATACGTTTCTTTTTGCAAAAATTTATTTCATTACATTTAAAACAAGGTAAACATAAAATTGAAGCTTTTGAAATTTTCTGAAATCTAACATGTAGCTCTGGTTGTCATGAAGTTTGGCCACCCCTGACATATATAAACTAACACCAAAATATGTTTTGATCATCAAAAAATGCAAACTTTCATCAATGTATTATTTTGAAGATTATTTCACAAAGAAATCAAAATTATTCCAAAATTAAACTATCACTGCTTTAAAAATTATGAAAAAAAGAAAACAATTCTAGTGCTGCAAGAGTTGCACAAAATGATACTCTTATGGATTAGATAAAACTGTATCACATTAATAATTTTCAAAATTTTTTTGGGTGTAGAATATATAAATAAAGCCAATTTAGCTTTTTCTCATGTGTAAAATTTGCACATTTACCTTCCTAAATTGAACTATTTCACTTTCTAAATGTGAAAAGATTTACCTGTGGCGGCAAACCAGCCAACATAGCAAGAGCCAGACCTTGAGGAATAACTGTGAGGGCAACAGTTATACCAGCAATCAAATCCCCTTTCAGATCTTCTACACTGTATTTTGGCAGCCATACGACAATTGGAAGTCTTCTTTTAAGTAACTTGAGAGTACACTTTCGATTGCACCAGTTCTCCAGGCAAGTACAAGATGAGGAATTAGTATTTTGTAATGGTTCTATTTCTGCATTGGCTTTTACATCATCTGAAAATTGAGAAAATTTACTAAATAAAAATTTATAAAGTCTTTTGGCACTGCATGAATTCTTTTACTCTACAGTTACTTTCCATTTGATATATAACATTTCAAATCTAAATAAAATTGCATAAATTTGAGCATTAAACTGCTAATAGTTTACTTGAAATGAATTTGAATGACATTAAAAACTTCAGAAAGATAATACAGAAATATTAAATGCAAATGAAATGGAGAAAAAAGTATAGCTACTAATAAAGCTTATTTCATATACCTTCTTCACTAATAAAATTAACATGATTTAATATCCATTTAAGCAGACAGCTCTTGAATGTTAATTGATTATAATCATTAATTACTTTATTATACATACTATACTTGAGCGAGTGGCTTAAGTTGGAAAACACAAGGCAGCTTTATTAGAGGTTTAATTCCTAGCAGGCCTAGCCTAGCCTGGCTTCATGGATATTTCTATAGTTTTCTTCATGCATAACATAATAGGATTCAATTCCTGATCCCTTCGGCAAATGCAAGATTAAGCAATTCTTTCTTCCCAAATACACCCCCTAAGTGTCAACCGTAAACTTGTAAGTGAGCTGATGTGTTTGCGTTCACTGTGGTGCAGAACTGGAATGTGAACTGAGCTCATTTATGACCATCAAAAGGTTAACATACATCTTGTTAACCTTTTGATGGTCATAAATGAGTCATAAATACTTTTCAGTGTTTTGCCATCAGCAAGAGAAGTACAGCTAAATACTAAATGCAAAATTCATATGTTTTACACAATCAAAACTCTATAAATAAAATTAAAAAAATATCTTCAAGAGCAATGATTGTTTTACATAAAATAATTTATGAGGTTGAATATTTTCAAGATCATATTAAACCAATAAGAAGAATAATAAGGAAGAACCAATCATTGTTAAGTTAGAGATATTTCATATCTTTAACTTTTATTCTCATCTATTACCATCTCAATAATTCACATAGTGAGTAACACTACTATCACTTCATAATCCTCATTTCACATAAATTTTTATGATACATAATAGTCACAAATAGTTAGATATTTCTTTTAACTTCAAAATATCTGTTATCAATGCTGAGAAAGCTAATTACAGCTTTGAAAAGTCAATAAGAATTTTTTGTTATCCCACGTTCAGAAAATTGATAAAATTTTCTTATGAAAGGATTGTATCATTTTGCCTTTGAAAAACAAAATTTGAATGTTAATAATAATCATTAGTTTTAAATGGTTGAACATTTCCTTCTTAAAGATTTCTTTCAAAATGTTTTCACCTTGATGTTATACACAAAAATGTTATTTTTTAAGCAGAAACTAATTCTTAACACTTAACAGAAGGGTTGCATAAATTTATGTTTTTCAATTGTGACTTCCTAGGATGGGCCCTACAGATTTACGTTTTATCTCGAATTTACAGTATGCTGCATTAGTTTTTCATTTTATGCATACTGTGTTATTTTTTCTTGGTACCATTAGTTATAATACTATCTATCTTTTGATTCTACTGTGGAGTTTTGCTTTTTGAGTAATTTCATTACCTTTAAAATGGCAAGCCAGATAAGTTATCTGATGTAGAAAGTGATAATGAATCAGAAAACTGTAAGTAAAACAAGATATTTATGCCAATTCTGTCAGGTTCTCTTCACAAGGGTGAATGTTTTACAAAATATCATACTCATAAAAAATACTAGATATGTTAATAAATAACTTTGTAAAATATAAGAAATGGTGTTGATTTAAATAAAACTGCAATTATTTAAAATTCTTCCATTACAGAATGTATATCGATATAAAGGTTTCAACATTTAAATTTACCTCTATTCAAATACCTTCCTTTCCCCTCCTTTTTAATCATTAAACTTGATCTATTATGCAAAATTATCTATCTAAATTGTACTGTGTTTCATTAACAGTAACTGCAATTAAATCAAATACACAAATGGAATTATATTTTTAAGAGCACAGAAATATAAAATTATTTTAAATTATATATATAGAAACATATCAAACACATAAAATATGCATCAGGCACATTTAAATAAATTTCTTGCTTTTCTATATAAAAATTTTTAAAAGTTAAGTAAATGCCAAAAAAGAGATACACGATGAAGTATAAAATATATGTCAATTTATAAAAAATATGTCATTCATAAAAAATTTTGATAATGATGTAAAATTTGATTCATGGCATTTTGCTGTTTGTTTCTTATATAGCACAATGAAAATACTGTTTTTCAATACGAAAATAAATACAAATATTAATGGAAATGACTCCATTAACTAATTAGCATGCAAGATTTTTTGGTTCCCTGACAAAAGCCCCCTCCTCCCACTACGATAACTAACTGCCCATGAAACAAATACCTACACTAATGAAAGCGTACACTGATAAAAGCCCACACAGATTAGATGCCACATTGATAAAAGTGCACATAATCAAAAGGACACATGTTTTTTATCACTATAAAATGTATTTATAATTGTAATTATAGTAAATGGAGTGTTTGGATCTGAATTTTAATGTCTCAAAAATATGTCTGTTTGTATATTTTATCACCACTTTATTTGTTTAGTTTATTAATTAGCAAACAAACTTTCTGCTTTCTGATTAAGTGATTAGTTATAATGTTTCAATGATAAGTGTGAAAATATATTTAAATTTGGTATGTGTATACGAAAACAAAAAATATCATTCTGAAGTTCCTCACATGCTGTTTTTAACATTATATGGCTGAGATTAAATATAATTATGTTTCATTATTAAAAAACAGGGGGAAATTGTAATTAAACAAAGAATAGACAAAATATTTTACATTTATAGCAGGATATTTTAAGCTTCTCTTATTAAACTAAAATGTTAAGTAGTAACTTCTAGACTTAGGTATGCTGACTAAAAGTATAACTTATTTAATTGTTATTATTTGATATCAAATTAGATGCTTATATTAGGAAATTATTAATCTCCATTGTCAAAAATTTCTTTCCTTTCAAAGAGAGATTTTTATTTTCATCTCTCTTATTTTTATTTCATTTCTCAATGTGACATTGCAGAGAGAAGTTATAAGTTCACATGAAAGTGCACATTTGCCTGTACACCGCCAACATGCTGCATTTGGACTTCATCTTCGCATCACTATGCTACAAAAGATAGTTTTCCAAAAAATGAATTGGCAGAACGATTTTTCTCAGCCTCCCAGAGATAGATTTGTTTACGTTACAAATAATTTTTTCCAGCTTACACTTCAATATTAATGACCATTCTGGTTTTGTACGCAAATGTTTTAATAAATCATAATAGAATAGGGTACTTTTCTATGAAAGAGCACATTTGCCTGTGGACCGCCAACATGCAACACTTGGACTTCATCTTCGCATCACTATGCTACAAAAGATAGTTTCCCCAAAAATGAATTGGCACAACAATTTTTCTCAGCCTCCCAGAGATAGATTTGTTTATGTTACAAATAATTTTTTCCAGCTTACACTTCAATATTAATGACCATTCTGGTTTTGTACACAAATGTTTTAATAAATCATAATAGAATAGGGTACTTTTCTCTCTTTTGTTGAAATAAAAATTTGGCTTTAATTTTTCATATTAAGTTCATTATACAGTCAAAAGTCGTTAATTTGGACACCCATAATCCAGAATGATCTATAATCCGGACCTCAAAGCTAAAAACTTTCTGCACATGCGCCGCTTTGACGCATGCGCATAGGCGTTTAAGCGTGCGCGTAAGACCTTTACGACTGCGCATTTGCGTGTGCAAAAGTGCAGAGTACGTTTTCGCTGCGCGTTTAATGTATAACGTACGGTATAAGCTAAAATTATCTAATTGTCTATTTCAGTTAATGTTGATGATTGCGTTGTTCCTTAATCTTTGAATTGGATCCGGCTTATTATTTTTTGCAGACTGTAAGAGCAATTTTATAAAAGTAAGCTTGAACTTTCGATTATGTCAAATAGAATTTCCGATGCTGGAGCTCCCAAAGGATCTACGAAAACGAAAGTATGTTTCGATGTCCATCAAACAAAAAGTGGAATTGCTCCAAAAAATGGATAAAGGCATATCCTTTGTTTATCTAATTCATGCTGCTCTGCGCCGGGGGGGGGGGGGGGGGGGAATGTGGCGGCGCAATGAACTGGAAGTTGATCTGTCAACACTATCGTTATCTTCAAGGCAGATGTTTTTATTTTATTCGGCTTATAATTCCTTATTAAATGTAGTATTTCATCTCGATGTACTTCGTCTTTGATATGATTTAAATCACATTCCTCGTCATTATAAATATCATGAATACAAATCAAATGGTTTTCTGGTTGCAATTTTCTAATTTCGGCTATGCATAATGTATGCTTTACGCATGCGCGCGTTGAAAGAAATGTTTAATAAAGTAAACAAATAAATATTAAGCTTTTTTTTTTTTTTTTTTGTAAATTTTGATACCTTTAGATCATAATTGCTCATTATTTTATAAAATGGTTTTCATATTTTTAATTTTATAATTTCTGCATGCCATCTTACCAGATTTAAACTGATGATCTATAATCCGGAATCACTGAAGTCTCGACGAGTCCGGATTAAAGACTTTTGACTGTATATAAAATTTTCTGAGCTGTTAAATAAATTATAAATTACTCTCTGTATAAGATGAAAATTTACGTGCATTTTATACTCCTAATAATTTTGTTGAATTAAATAAAGCAATGTGGCCAGCATTCCCCTTCACCTCCCTTTGTCAGACTTATATCAGGGACACTTCCCTTTGACTTGTAAATAAAATAACAAAGTTATTAAAGTAGGGTTTTAATTCAGACAGATATCAAAATAAAATATGTTCTGTTACTTTAATTTATTGTTCAATTATTTCTTATTAATTTAATTTAATTAATTAATTTTTTATTTTATCTTATTCCATGAATCTGCTTTGTATAACTAAAAAAAAGGGGGAGGAATAAAAATTAATTTTAACATAGCATATACGTTGATGTGGGGTTTTGTCAGTGTGGGCTTTTATCTGTTCGGTTTTTATCAATATGTGCTTTCATCAATATGGGTATTTGCCATGTGGGCAATTATCCCATGGGGTTTTTTGGTTAGCTTTTGTTGCATGCACTTTAGTGCAGTGGGTTTTTGCCTAGTCATCAAGCATTTTATTTCCAATAAATTTAAATTTCAGCAGCTTCATAATTTAATAATTTCATTAAATAAAAAATTCAACAGCTTTCATGTTCAAGTTTATGATAAAATGGCAGAAAAATTAAAACAACAACCAATTTTAATGGTATGATCTAAGAAATAAATTAAAAGCAGTATATCACATAATACACTGTCTGTATATTAAAGCAACATATGTCCAAATCCTCGAGAATAGCTAAAAAGTTAACACTAATACTTTTATTTCAAAATTATTTCTTAATACTAATGGAAAGGACAGGAGGGCTGCATGGGTATTTTTACACTTTTTCTCAAGTTCTATCTTAGTTCTTCTTTTACCTGCTAATTCAGAAAAAACGTCTTGTAGTAACATCCAGTTAAACATCAGTTCCAAGTTTTGCAAAAACTAATTACCAATTTAAAGGTACCTGAACTCATTTAATTTCTCAAGGACATCAATAATATTATCTCTCTTAGTATATATATAAAATTTCCTACATAAATAGAACTTCCCTGAGGACGTTCAATCTGGAAACTTTAAACAGAGGGTGATTGTTTTTTTATTTGTTTCTCTTATATATATTTTCAAACTTTTATTACCTATTCCCATTTACTCTTTTAAGGAAAACAAATTTCCAACTTTAATATTTAATCTAATAACATAATTTTCAATAGTTTTGCATTATAATTCCCAATTACCATATACCAATACATTAATACCCTTACAATTTTTCCTAGGATTCCTAGGATTTTTAATAAACAAACAAACAAAAATTTAGCAATTTCTTAAAATTCAATCTTTTGCAGCTCAAGCACAGGAATTAATAAATTATGATTTTTTTCTATTTTATTTATTCTTAAGCTTATATATATATATGTGTATAATTTTTTTTTCACATTTCACATATATTTCATAAAATTAATTGGAAAAATTTTTCTCTCACATTTCTGAATTAATTTAAGATTGAAATTTATATATTTCATAAAATTAAATTGGCAAATTTAAAACTGGAATATGTATTTTGTTCAGAAATACAAAAAAGAAAACACTATCCTTTTGAATTATTGATGTTTGCATACAGTATCAACAACCTTCCTAGAATTAAGAGCCACTATTTCACCAATGTAGTAAATTACCTTTTTTTTTAAAGAGTCAAATACAAGTACATATACTGATAATTTTAAGAAAAATAATATAACAGTTATCTACTTCAGCTATCGCAACAGGGGTACAATGAGTACATTTTAGGAAAATGCATTACTGGCTGGTCAAATCTAGCAGTCAATTGCCAATAAATAAATACATCAATTTCTCTGAAGCGAAGCCATGAATTTCGAGTGCTGCGTTGGTGGGAGTGGAGAGCAAGGTTAGCTAGAGCTAAGTTAACATGTATGCGATCTGCCATGAATTTATTCTGCTGTGGGATTATTAAAATTTGTTTGGCAATGAAATATTGCAGCTAATTTTTCAATACTATTAAACTACTCAAGAGCCACAAGTCTGATTCTACTCAGCATGCAGCTCGAGAGCTACAGATGGCCGACCCCTGGTATAGAAGGATTCCAATTTTTGAAAAGTCGGGGGTCTTTCTAGAGAATCAAAAATAATTTTAATTGTTTTAATGTACTTTTTATTTTTTAGAATTCATAAGTTAAAAATATTGATTTCCACAATAGTGCAGCTTTACTATCTAAATTTTCTTTTATATTACCTATTTGATAACTATTTATATATTCTCTTTCAAGAGAAAATTTTTCCTCTTAGCACCAATAGCACAGGATTTTAGTTTTTAAGTCCTTTTCAAATAAATTTTAAAATTCATTAATTTAAAGTTTTTCTCCTCATATTTTTTTACAAATTATTAATTATTAAATTATTATTATTATAATAATTATTATTATTTATTTGGTTTATTGTATATTTTAGAGTACCCCCGGATTATTGCCAAGTTGTTCTTTCATTTATGATGACCCGAGTAGTTGAATGTTATGGAAACCTTGTTATGACATGATTGGTTGTAATGCATGATTTTGACTGCTAAGAAAATATTTGTAGGGGCTTATTTAGGTATGGATGTTGGTTAGGCTTTGCACTGTAAAATGCTTGCTGGTGGTATGATTAACCTGCAGTTTCTGTACACTTTGGAAAGAATGGGAAAGAAAACATTGAATGACTGGTGTGTAAAAGAAGATTCAAATGGCTATCTTCACCTCTCAGTAAATTACAAAGCGAGATTTAAGGATTTTGAAACCAAAGCTCATATCAACACTATGGAAGGTTTTGGGGCTGCAATAAAAAGGGATTTTCAAAAGAAACGCTACCGACAGTCCGGAAGATATTTTTCATTTCTACGTTTGTGAATTAACGTGGTGACGGCAGTATACAAAATTCTAGTTTAGATAATATTAAATAATTTTTGAATGCTGTTGAGGAATTCTGTGGAGAAATACATATCGGAGAAACAGTAATTTTTAAATAAGGTAAGTCGATATTTCCTTTTTGTACTGCATATATTAGATAACATGTATTGAGTCTTATGTTATTTTTTTGCTTGATTTAAATGCAGTTTTTTGAGGTTATATATTTTTTGTTTTAATTATGTTTTGGACACCATTTTACTGGTGAGGGCATTGCACAAAAACAGGAATAGCGCCAAGGAATCGCCAGTTTTCGCCAAGGGGTACCCTGAAATATATTTTCATCTATTTATTTAATAATTCACTTACGTAATATATATATATATAAAAGTAGCAAGACAACATGAATTAGAGAGACCTTAGTGATCAAGAATTTTGCGCATTGAGTTGCTTACATAAGTCTTTTCATAAATGCCATGTCATTTAAATATGATTCATTTTAACATGGTATAATATAAAATGATCGGAAGTTTAAAAGTATTAAATGGTTTTAGAAAATTCAATACAAAATTTCATTAAATGTATTAAAAAAGCTTTATTTTTGATTTGGTATAATGCAAAAATTTTTAAAAAAATGTTTTCCATTTGTGTATTTCCTTATTCAAACAAATAAAATTAAACTATCACATTCACATGTGTAACTTATTTAAATTACAAATAACTTATGGAAGAGTACCATTGATTATTAATGATGATTCAGGCTCTTCCTGAAACATGACAATAACTATTCTCAGTCTTGTAAATTAATACATTTTCTGCTAAAGAAAAAAATTCAGAAGTATGAAGTCTTTCTATGACATGAAAAAGAAACCACAGCATAATTTTTTAACATAACAATCAGTGTACAATATAAACATTTAAGTTCCATAACAATATTACAAAAAATTTCAAATCTATGCAAAATATTTTTTCACAAAAATAAAATCACTAAGATTATAATAAGTTTTTTTATAAATACAATTCAGCAAACTTTTATTTTTTGAAAACATCAGTATAACAAATTTAAGTTCACAGAATATGCATATGATATTCTGTGAATGAAGACTTATTTAAAGATGTGTATTGTAAACATTAAAAAATGTCCATACTTAAATAAATAAATAAAAAACTTTAGTTGTTGAAATTTAACTAATCTAAAATGATAATTTTTTCAACAAGTTCACTGAAAAGAATCTTTAATTTTACAACAGTTCATTTGAACCAATATCCACATCTACTAATATTTCCAAATAATGAATTGTTGAAAGTCTAACTTTTAACAAACTCTGCTTAGATAAAATACACTTCAAAACTAGAATATACAAGTAGCACTCAATTCCTAATTCTACTAACAAGAGATATATTTATCTTTTGTTTCACTTCTGTCAAACATATAAATGTATAAAATTCTAGAATTTTAAGATTTTACTTTGCAGCAAAATCTTAAAATTACGAAATGATTTGACCAGTGGCGCATAATTAGCCTTAAAGTAACATACTTACTAATCTAAAAAATGTCTTTGAAGATTTTACAAAAATTCAGAATTTAAGGCATTACTTTTATCACAGAATATCCTTCCTCAAACAACAAAAATTTTATTCAGATTGTACCATATTCCAAAGTAAATTATTTACTTTAATAAATAATTTACTTTGACAGTCTGTTTAGTATTGAAGTCTAGGAATCACAGATTTTTTTTCTTAATTTACGTTAATACATTTTAGAAACCAGGTGATATGTTTACTTACTATGGGACCAAGTTTCAGATGTTGGTAAACAATCATGACTATACATCATAATACAGTTAATTAATTGGAAAAAGTGCGGAGGGGGAACAACTCTCTATTAGATAACATATCTTTTGCGAATTATTAAAAAAATCTGGATCACGTAGCTTATCAGTTTTATCATGAAATCTAGGTACACAATAACAACATAACCTTATCGAAATATGAAGCGAATATGATAGCAAAAAAATTAAATTCCTTTTAGAGATCTACATAATAACTAGCAGCTTAAAGATGATTAAATAAGAAAAATGCGGTATTATGACACCCCATGATTTACATATTACAATACCAAGATTATAATCAAAGGGATGGGAGAACACGTACAGGCTACATTATAAAAATCTTTTAACCGCTGAACATATCTTTGGCATATGACATATTTCAAATATTAAAATATTAGTATTCAAACCAGCTACACCACTACGTATGGAACAGTACACAGTCATTATGAAACAAATGATCTGCAAATATAAGCACAAATCCTAATACACAATTCAGATGTCAAAATTTCAAAACATCTGACAACATCTATCTCCAAGGCGCAATCAAAGTCAAATCGGAAATGGGAATTCCAGCTCAGGAAATAACTGTCGCTGTGAAAAAAAGTGTTCCTTAGTTGATTTTCCTTAGTTTTTAAAATTAATTTTCCGTTGCAGAATTTTTTTCAGGAATACTAATAACTTCGTGTAAAAATGCGAAATTAGAATAAGAGTATTAAGTAAGGCCTATTAACCTGATGGCGGCCACATTTCGTGCTATTCGATAATCATTACACGAAGCACTTTGTGTAGCATTTTCATTCTGAAGTTGAGTACTGAATTATGCAGAAGCTAAATTAGTATTTCCCTCAGGTTTCAGCAAAAGAAATTTAAATGTTATTGTTCTAAAAACGTATATACAGTGTCTCACAAAAGTGATGGGACACTTGTGCTTTACAAAAGGAAACTGTAATAAAATAAATTAAAAAAACATTTAAACATTTTTTGTGGGTGTGTTTCATACTTAAATTTAGTAACAATTATTACATAACATCACTTCTCAAAATATTAAAAATATTAATTTAATAAAAAAACAGTTGTTTAGAACGGAGCAAAAATGGCTCACATAAGTGATGGGACATCATTAGATTTTACTACGTACTACAATAAAAATATTTTTTGGGGTTTTTATTTTTACTCAAAAGCAATTGGAAATAATTTATAAAATCGTCTGCAGTACTTCTCTCCAGTTTGTTTTGGAATTTCTGTGTTTTTTAGCTCTGTGCAGCCATGAATGCTAAACGAAAAGAAACTTTGCTTGAAGTTCGAAAATTAGTTATTAATTTGCATATTGAAGATGAAAAATCTATTAGAAAAACTGCTGAAACAGTTAACTTGAGTCATTCAAGAGTTTTCAATATCATCAAACGATATAAAAAGAATCATATCATTCAGGATAAAAGAAGACCTGGCCGACCATCAAAAGCTATCCAATGGAATAAAGCGAATTATCGTTCGAAATATTATATATATATATATATATATTGTATGAATTAAATCCATTTAGTGCGAATACAAGTTATTTACAATTGCAAATTAGTTAATAATAATTTATTTCCTAAAACGTATTGATTAATTGATTATATTATCTCCTAAGTTTAATTTAAAGTAGAATTATTTTAAAAGCGTGCATCCATACTGGTAAGTTATATTTTGAAAGATGTTTTGAAGTAAATTTGAAAGCAAAAGGTTAATAATGTTTTAACGGGGACTGGAGTTTTTAAATCATCAGAGAATAAAATTTCAATTGTAAAAGGAAAAATTAAAACATGTAATCATTGTCATTGATCGGAAATTAGTTGATTTTCAAGGGGAACAAACAATTTAATGATCATAATGTAGAAATACGAATATTGAAAGTGTTCGTAAAGAAAGGACCCATTTAAGTATTAATTCAGATAAGTCTCTATGAATATGACAACTTAATTGTTCGAAATATTATCACCATGTATTCTATACGAGATTATAACAATTGAAATTTTATTGCTTTTATTCAGCTTCTATCTAGTCCCATTTGATACAGCAAGTATCAATTTAGATGAGGAAAACAAAACTACTTCATCAAGCCCTCCTTATAAGCTTACTAGAAAGCCTGGCGGTCATACGAAATGACCGTTGTTCTAAATTGTAATTAAAATGATTCTGCTAATTTAAACTGAATTACCCAGGGCAAATTAGCAAAGGTGTCTGCTAATTTGAACAATTACCCAGGCGGCGAGGACGCTCCTTTGCTTACTGCCCCACGGGGTACCCCCTTCTACTTGCTTAATTACTTGCTAATTGTAGAGTGCAATGAAGGAAACCAATTGCGGTACATTTCTTAAGAGCCCACCACCAGCTCAATCAATAAAGGTGATTTAAATAATGAAATGTTAATTCACATGTCAAAGATCTCTTTGTACATAACATTTCTTGTGCAGATCCTTCCATCATTTTTAAGCTCGCCTTGCAGAGGACATTCAATTATTTTTAATTTTACGTCCGTTCTTTCACGAATCTTGAACAGGCAACATAAAGTTGACCGTGTCCAAATGCAGGCTCAGGTTAAAAAAATGCCAACACGCCTAAGCGTTTGGCCCTGAGACTTATGGATGGTCATAGTAAAGGCAAATTTTACAGGAAATTGTCTACGGCTTAATTGAAACGGCAACCCTGTGCCGTGGCAACGTAACCCCATTGGCTAGTACAGTTACGAAAGCAACCAATAAAATATCGGCGACAAATAGACACTTAAGCCACATATATATATGGGGTGAAGAAACATCATCTCCTCCGAAACGGCTGGTTCCTGGACTTAGCGAAGCACACCGTTGGAATCCGCAGGTGTCTTTTTGGGACTTTTAGCCGAGATGTTAATTAAAAACTAATTTCCCCCTACGTTTTCCACTTTCTTTCTTGGATTTTCCCTATTACAGGGATTTGGCTACGTGCCAAATTCTTTTTTCTCGAATATCTACGGAACGGCGCCGAGTTGAAATTCGAGACTCGTATTCTCGGATTCCAAAAAATTCTTCAAATCCATCGATACCATTCTGATCTTCGTACGACTGTAATCGGCCGAGATATTAATTAAAAACTGCGGAAACGTTAATTTCCGCGCTCATTTTTTCGAGTGGCTACAATAAACTATCGGCGACACACACTTTAGCCGCTTATATATATAAAGATACCCTAATATTTTAAGGGGTCCTAATAACAAATTTTTATTACTGTTACTTACATTTTTTTTTTTTTTTTTTAGTGATTACTTTTACACAAAGTGGGGGCAAATAAGCAATTGAAAATGAAAAGTGCTATGTCTTAATAAGACCCGTTCAGTAAGCAGAATTATTTGTTCCAGTATGAGTTTGGTAAAAATCTGGAAACTATACATCAATTGGACATAAATGCAAAAAAAGTAAAGAATAAGTCTGATATTCCTGAAACATATTTTTTCGAAATGTTTTATTTATTCAATAAAATGTTCAATATATCTCTAAACTCAATAATATGCAGAGACGAATCTACATTTGATAAATCTCTGAAAAAATATTTTATGTGTTTTATAGTAAGATAGACTACATGAGAATTTTTGTGGTTTTCTGTGAACACCAGCCACTTTTCCCCAGAACGTCTCCACGAAGCTATTATATCTCTTGAGAAGTTTGTAAGCGTATAGCACTTGTGTTGTAGGGTCTAATTGTGTAGAAATTTAAAATAAAATTCTTTCAGGTCCTACTAGACTGACAAGTGAGTTATTGGTCTAGTCTGAATTAAAGTGACAACGTCCTATGAAGGTTAAAATAACCTTTTTATTAATTCTTTGAATTTAAAAGAAAGCGGCATTTGCGTTTACAAAATTCCACCACTTGTGTATAGTTTAAATAAGATAGGCTGAAACGTGTATTCAAATATTATAGTCGGAATCTACACAAGCTGGTCTACTTAAGCTTGCTCAAATATTGAACAGCGTGCTTTTTTAAGGTTGGTTAGTAAAATGTCTAAAGCCGGATTGAACTCTGATAGAGCTGGTGACAGGACGCAAACTACAAACAAAGTTGTCAAATGCTCTAATATACACACATATTCGGCTTAAATAATAGCACAACTAATTTGCATTCTGGAGAGGACTATGAAAGAACAAGAAACAAGAAATTTATTCAGATATTTCAGTTAATGGAAATCGTCGAGCTGTAGTAAATAACATAAAGTACTTAAGACAGAATAACACGCTGAACAAATACTAATTCAGAAGTCAAACAACGAAAATCAGCGTTATATTTTCAAAGTTTCACAGTTTTGAAAATATAACGCTGATTTTTGTTGTTTGACTTCCGAATTAACATAAAGTACTGTCTAGAGATTATATAACAAATATATAAAAGAAAAAGCAGCTGAGCTTTATTCTGTATGAAGATTGCGCACTGCGAAGACATTTATATATGCTTTATGTACTGGATTGGATTGGATTACTCAATTATGGCAAAGCACACAAAGGCTATCTGCCTAAAGGGAGGGATGCGCCTTCGTGGAGGCTTTCTAAGGGAAACTGGCTCGTATACACGTTACACATGGAGAAAGACACGAAAACGCCATGCAGCCAGCCCGTTCGCGGGATTCGAACCTCGGACCGAACTATCAGTGTTCAGCGTCTTTACCACTCGGCTGCTGGTAGGCCCCGCTTTATACACTGCATTATACGAAGAAACTCTTAATTTAAATGCTAATCTAAGAACACTGTATATCATCTTGATTTTTTCCATGCTGATTTATGCTATTCCTGTATGAGCAAATATCATTAAGCCATAGGAAAAAACACTTTAACGTTTCCGAAAGCAACGTTTTCCATTGCACTAGAATGTAACATACCAAAGAGTAAATGCTCCGTGGTATTTGCGAAATATTATACTCACAGAGACCTCAAGATTCAAAGTATATGTAATTACAGCTTATAAATTTTAGATGAATGCTGAAAATTCTCAGTTTCGAGAATCTTTGGGACTAATGGATTATGAGTTAACGTTCCAGTTCAAATTTCATAATTTGGCTTTGTGAACTGCGTCGCAGGTAAACAGACCAACCACGTCTTCGAGTAGTAAATGTGCTTTATTCAAAAATTAAAACCATAGGTTACGCAATTAAGTCTGCTGCATTATTGCACAGCACTTTTTCCTCTGATCCAAAAAAGGGTTATATTTTTTCTCCGTAATCCTAAAATTTAAACAAAGAAATAAAAGAGAAATAAAATTTGGAAATGCTATTCTGACAATGAATTAAAAAACTATCGCGATATTTTTTAAAATGAAAGAGAAATAAATATAAGTCAAGCAGACAATACCCCTAAAATGATGTAGAATCATGCAAGGCATGCTCATATACACATGATACTGTTAAATGTCACGCTCACTTCCTATGATTTAAAAAAAAAAAAAAAAAAAAAAAAAAAAAAAAAGAAGGAGAAAATAATAATCCAATTCTTTTTCAAAAGCTGTTTTAATTCTTTTTTCAATAAATGAACTGACATGGAAAATAAAAAAATAATAAAAACGTCCTTGCTATACAGAGGGGAATATATCGCAGCATGCTCATATACACATGATACTGTTAAATGTCACGCTCACT